CTGACACTGCAGAAAGTGAATCAACTAAAATATTTTTAAATGTTAATTACAAGAGATGCAATGTGAATAAGGATGGATCTTATTTTAATGCAAAGAATTGCACGTTAGCAGGAATGTAACACAACATTACTTAAATGTGAAAGAGAAATTTCTGCAACTTCAGTGTGATTAAATTGTAAATAAGAACTTTAAAATGTGTTAAACAATAAAAGTTAAACAATAAATAACTTCATGATCTATTAAAACCCCTTATTTATTTTTAGGAGGCTGCTTAGAAACTATGCTCCCTGTTGCTTGAGTTTTACATATTTTACTTTGTGACGTCATGTGGAGATCAGCCTGGCTTTAGCAGTGAGATCCTGTGTGTGTGTGTGTGTGTGTGTGTGTGTGTGTGTGTGTGTGTGTGTGTGTGTGTGTGTGTGTGTGTGTGTGTGTGTGTGTTGTTTGTTTGTGAGTGGTTCTGAGAACACAGATTAAGGGCCATCCCATAGGAGTTTCAGCTCAATTATGGTTGAGAATTCAAAGACAAGTGAAGCACACACACAATCACAGGTAAAACGTCATTTCCAGACACAATGAAATGGAGAAAAACTGCCAAACAAAGATGGTTCTGCCTCCCCATCCTTCATCTTTGCATCTGCACTCGTGCATCTGTGTGCCATTATGCCATAAATTCCCCGTGATGCGTTCATTGACCTTTTAATCAAGATTTATCGACATGTGTGCCGACTTGTTTCAAACTCCTATAGCTGCTGCAGGGATTTGCGGTTGGCGTTATGCAACAGTTGAAACTTTTCCAAAGGAATAGCGTAGCTTACTAAACTGGCCTTTTGTTTAACTTCTATCGTCTGCTTTCACTCAGTATAAGGTATGGTAATGTAAGCTTAAGTAAAGCTGCCAACAGCGAGCCAAAGATGACATTGAATGCATTTCCAATTACTTAATAAGTGGAACATAACTCCATCGAAGAACAAATAAAGAATGATGACAGGAACGCTAACACACCGCTTGAGGCACCAGGCCTGCTCTGTGTGTGTGTCAGAAATTGAATAACATCTATGGTCTGCTTACACTAATGTTATAACTCACATGTAACATGGGGGTGTGTGGTTGTGCTACAATCTAGTTACGTACTTGATCTATGCAGGATAATTTCCCTACTGATGGATTACGATGACTCAAGTTTTTCCGGGATGCAGCAAATGCAATTATTTTGTATGTTTGTGTGCAGAATTCATAATAATACTAATTCAACGTTGGACTACATTTTTTCAAAAGGGAGCATAATGACATGAAATGGGTGTAGAGATAATAAATACATGATTAAAGATCTTTCTGTCTAAAACCACTAGGGACCCCCTTTCTATCCACTTTACTTCCAGTATATATTTCAGACCACAAACATCTTCACACTTTGCTTTCATTTTATTGTAACTACACTCCTGTAAGGTTTTGTAAATACATATTGCACCATAACAATGCAATACAAGTGACAATAAACTGGCCACACACACAGATACAAATTCACCACCAGCAGGAAGAGGTGAAAATACTTAGATAAATGTAAATAAAAAGTAAATAGTAACTGTGAGAGTGGAGTAAAAAGGAGCCTTTAAAATGAAGTGGGTTAGAAGTATAAACTACTTAATTAAAGTACACTTGTAGCAAAATAATACTATGGTTCTTCAGTTAATGTACTTAATTACAGTCCACCACTTATAGCAGGCTTGTACAAATCTGTTTTTAAAAAGAATGCTGAGCTCAGCAACAAAGTTTTCCACCATAAGCAGATCTTGAATAGATTTGTCGTCCTTATTCAAAATGTCTGCAGATACATAGATTGTTGCCACAGTTATCTCATTTGTTTTTATTCCCTTCTCAGCTCCAATGGCAGGAGTCAGTCTTCCTGAAATATCTGCCAACAGCAGGAGAGCTGCATTTATTTCACTTTCTCTGCCACACATTACATAGCTGACACATGAGTTAAGATCAGATAAGCTCTTTAATCCCAGAAATCTGACAAAATGTTATTTCCAGGCGCGACAACTTTGGCAGCACCTCAGGAATGAATCCTGTATAATCACTGGCACCACTGGAAACCTAAACAGATACAGTACGGTGAAATCCAGCCATGTGTAGCTTTACCTTGGCTTTTAATCGTGTTTTTCTGCTCTGCACCAAACAGCTTTGACACTGATTAACTTCAACACACAGGGTTAACTAAACGCTGACTTCATGACTGAGAAATCCACTCTAAGACAGGAATAATTAGGTATTTAAGGACAGCTTTCTCTAAGCTGCTTTGGCCCTTTTTAATGCGTATCAAAAAGCCTTTAAATATTTCTTAAAGGAGTCAATAAATAAGACATTCTCTCACTTTGCTTCAACAAAACCAAACTTCTTCTTAGAAGAAAGATGTCAATAAAACCATTAATGCTTTGATATCTTATATCACAGCTGCAGTTATATCAAGTGGTAAAGAAAGTGTGAAAATAAAATCGAAGGGGCCGGATGGGGTCAGTTATTTGTTAAGAGGGTTATTTAAATGAACTCTGAAACTATGTGCTGATTCACGATATCCGTATGTGCAGCATAATTCTATTGTGTTGTATTAAAACAAAGAATACAACATTAAATTAGTACACCTTCAGGAAACAGGTGTTAATTCAGATTAAAAAAACTATAATACAAATATCATAGATACATGACGTACACATACAAAAAAAGTGCAGCACTACAAATCTTATGGATTCAGATTAGTAGGCCTACTGGATACTAAAAAAGTGTATATTTATATGAAATGGTATCAATGCCTGTATCAAATAGATGACTTACACATGCTTTAATCTCTGTTTTCCAGGAGAAGAAAAGTAGGCCTACATTATTCTAGTTAGATATTAAAGCTCAACATATACAAAACTTATTCTACGGACAGTAACATAGTCAGCAACAATGAAATACTAAATTGGAAAACTATAATATATATAAAAATATTCAAATGCAACAGTACAGTATGTCATTTTCATGATATCAACATTAACACAAAAAGAGGTGAAGGACACATAAAAAGCCAAAGCCAAACTCATAGTCATTTCAGCATTAGGAAATAAATTAACTAGGTTAGCAAAGCTAGCAAGAGACAGCTAGCAAAGACCATAGTTTATGTTTATGTAAGACAGAGACAGACAGAAAGACAGTGTGTGTCTGACTTACGTTTTTTGACGTCCACATCACTTCTCCCATCCTTCATTCAAGTGAAGCTTCCATGTTGACAGTCATTTTGTTGGTTGACAGGACTCCACATCTTCTCTCTCCATGGCTGCTGCTAGCTAGCTAGCTAACTAGCTTAGCTTAACTCAAAATAGGGGACATAATTAATACCAACAATTAAAAACCTACTATCTGAAACACTTCATTTTATATAATACTTACATGTTTTGTTTCTTGTGAGGCCATTTCACACTTTACTTCAGTTCACACTTTCTTTTCCTCAGACGTTTCCATACATTTTGCAGTGCCATATGAGCGTATTGTCTCTAACATTTTTAAGTTTTTTAATCACCTTGACACACCTGGCCTGTATTCGTTAGACATCTGTAATGGTGTAATGTCGTCTTTTCACCACGCACACTGGCTAACATGTAAACCCCGTTAGTACCAAGAGGGGCGCTGTTTCGCACGATTAGGAAAATTATGTAATATAGGCTACATATATATTTATCTGCAAAGATAAATCAATGAAAGGGATACCATTTGTTATTGAAAAAACTTTACAAGAAGACCTGTCTAAACTTGTATACCTAAATGTATACGTCAAAATGACTGAAGTGTTGTGTTCTGTGTATTGTGGCCAGTATGTCAAATCACTTAATTCCGGTTTACTTTATATATATGTTTCTCTATTTTTATGTATAATAAATCAAGCCCTAAAAGTATCAAACACCAACTTACAAACTATACTGACATTTCTTACTGACATTACTACCACTTTTAATACAGATATACTGCAATTTTCTCAATAATTGGTTATATTTCTGTAAATATTTATTGTAAACATTATTTATATATTTGATTTAATAAGTTTTTTTACATTTATATATTTGCTCTTATTTAACATATTTTTCCCTTTTAATGTGTTTAGCTATGCACCCACTATTATACAACCAAAGATAATCCCTTGTGTGTGAACCTACCTTGCAATAAACCTGGTTCTGATTCTGCCAGTACTTGGACCAAAATGAAAGATGGTGATTCACATGGGTTCAAAAGAAAGTCCAACCTAAATCGCAAAAGCACTTTTCATCCTTCAGTCGCAGCTTCAGGATGGAGTTACCCTTTTAACCAAGACTCATTGATTTGAATTCCAGCTCCCAGAAGCCACATCAGAAACCACCATAATAATTCAACAGGACCTAATTTACCGGTTTTGTTCAGCATCCCAACTGCAGGGGAAATTACACAGACATCTTGTGATTTACCATAAGAGGTGGTATGCGGGGAAATAACGTCAGAATAACTTCAGGACATAAATAACCCTTACCTAAAGTCATTGCAATTGCCACGAATGATCTTATTTCATAACAGTGAAGGCAGCTGTAAGATTATTATTGGAAACACTTGTGATATGACAGATAAGCAATTTCCACACTAAGCTACACCCCTCAGGTTCAGAACTTGCGTACGTTTGCTTAAACGAATGTGAGTTGCTTGGTTTTGTAACTTTAATAATGACTTGTCAGCTAATGAGGTCAAACCACAGTTCACCAGGAATCAGTCACAAACCGCAGCAGTAAAAAAAAACAGGAAATGAAACTTTGTGTAAATACCCCTGAGGAGGGGGTCAAGTCATAATAAAACCGACTTTAACTCCAAACTTCACAGTATATTTTCGTCGTACCCACCTTTACCTGTTATGTGTGTTTTTTGCTATATATTTTCCAATCTGTCAATACAATTCGTAGGGAAAAAATCAATCTCAATAATCTCATATAAACCCAGAATGAATAGAAACACATTTTTTTAATCATTTACTTAATGTCCCAGTTCACTGTTATAGTTCAGAGTGAGGGTTATTGTGAAACGTGTCAGAGGGGGAGGAGGAATCGTCCACGTTCACATCTTCTTCCTTGCTATCCTCTTCCTCCTCTTCCTCTTCTGGAGTTTGCTGCTGGGCGGAGTCTGGTTCCTGTACGTCCATGATTTTCAGGAAGTCCAAGAACTCGACAGCAGGAGGCCAGCTGTCCTCCCCCAACATCCCTATAGAGACACACAGAAACGGGAATATTTATTTAGGGCTGCAACAACAATTATTTTCATTATTGATGAACGTACAATTTGTTTTCTAGATTTATTCGATTTAAAAAAGGCAGGATACAACATGATTTAAGATGATATGAGCCTTAATCTAATGCAAAAAAAAACACTTTGACCTGTTATTCAGTTATAAATATGAAACAAATAACTCATAATCTACAAGGTAATTAAGATAAAAATAATATATTATTTCCTAGATATTAAATAATAGCAGAACAGAAGAAAGAAAGGCAGAGAATCAACCCAAAAGGCAGCTTTCAAATGCCCCAAAAGGCACATGATGATACCGTTTTACAGCTAAACAATTTTTTTTAACTCGAACGCAATCAGTTATACACTTCTGATCAAAAGAAGAGTTTTGAAACTGCCTTGCATGGAAACAGGAAGTCCCAGGATGTGGAAAATGAGTCTCTAAACACTGTAGGTCTGTATTTTCCGGTGGAGAATGCAAGGAATTGGCTGCATGACAATCCTTGTGCTCAGAGAAGAGTCACAGCGCGACCGCTGCCTCATGTCACCTGCACCCACTGCAGAGTTCAAAGGTCAAGGGTTAATGGCTCTGGACAGTGGAGGTTTTAAAGCCCTAACAATCATCACCTTTACTTAAAGACCATTTTGAGGTGCAATACACGTGTCGACTCAAAGCCTCCTGCATGCCTTTTACATTCCTGAAGCCACACGCTCGATCCTGCCCTCTGTCATCGTCTGCTTTTACACTCTATGGAGCATATGTTATTTTATTTGTGCCTAAATAAAGGAAATACACTGTAAGAGGAGAGTGTAGACATGGCACGTCTATTTTATCTTTTCTTGGAGGCTATTTTTTTACTATTTCCATATGAGGTCATTTTCTTCTTTCCATGGAAATGAACAAAAAAATTTCTGATTCTATCTTAAATATAATTTGACACATTACTCGCCTCATCCTTTTTAGTTCAGTCTGGTAAAAGTGAATGAATCACAATATTTGATGACAGTCCCTTACTGTATTTGTCTTATTTTGACATCTGAAGGTTAAACATGGGGGAAGTCAAATCAATCGAAGATCTAGCACGACTTCTCTGATGTCATCCAAACAATTTTCCATTTGAGGCATTAAGCAGCCCTGATCTTACTCCTTTATTACCTCAAATGAGAGAAAATATAGTTAAAGGTCATAAAAGCAACCAAAATTACAACGTGTATAGCTCAAGTTTAAAGGGTAAAGAGGTATTGAAATAATTGTTTGATATCTTATGTATGCAGCAGAGTTTCGTAGTGGAAATGTACTTGTACTTTAATGCAAAGTCATCCCTGCGGGGAGTCACCTAATCACTGCAGGTAAGCAGGCAATCACTGCGGATAACTGGGTCATTGCTGCAGTTAAAAACGTCATCATCATGACTCCTGCTGCTAGAGACATGACGACCTCTCCATAGCAAAGAGAACTACTTCAAATCAAACCACATTTGCTGGCTTTGTCAAATGTTGTTCACAGTGCAGACGGAATACAAAAGTGAGAAAGTGAAAGCATACTTGGGCTAATCATTATAGATTAAACATCCAGATGCACTTCAACAGCAGGCACTTTAAAGGCCATAATGCTGAGTTATAGTCTTTTTAGAGAGATTTTAGAGTGAATAAAAAGAGGAAATGACACAGAAAAAAGCCATGATAGTTTTTTCGTGTCTCTTAAGCTTTTAGTTTCAGGTGTTTAAGTTTTGCCTAATTACTCCAGATGTGGATTTATTGTTGTTTTGTGTACTTTTGTCATTTTTGCTTGATTTGTTACACAACAAGTATTTATTTTCCTATATCCTCGTGCCATTTTTTCTTTATTTAACTCCAGCACTTCCTGTTCCTTACCTGCCGCTGACACAGCCCCTCCCTGGATCCTCTGCAGCCACAGCAGGACGGAGGAGGCCACTATAGGCGTGTTGGGGGGGAACTGATAAATCTCATCTCCTGAGGGCAAATGGGTGAGGACCAGAGCGGGGAGGGGGGGCATGGAGCCAAGGTATGACCCCAGGACGGACATACCAGCTGGAGTACGGCCCCTGGAACACATACCAGGAAAATGGATATAAATAGAGAATACATTGTGAGTGAATATAGAGCTTATTTTGTTACGTACAGGTGGATCCAGCAGGCCAGGTACTGCTCCATCCTCCCTCCTCCCACTTCCACCACTCCTCTCATCTCCTCCACCAGCGCCTGGTTCTGCCTCCGCCCGATCTCGTCCTCCTCCTCTCCCACAAAGAGGAGGAGGAGGGCTTTACCCAGAGAGAGGAAGGAGGGCAGGTTCTCCACCGTCAGCTCAGGCTGGGAGAGAAAACAGAGAAGTCACATTTATTTCAGATATAAAAAAATGACAGTTTGTCAGCAGAAAAAAAATGTAACGGCAGTAATTATTTTATTGATAACAACAACAAAAAACAGAAAGTGCTCAAAGCAGAAGTGCGCGTGGTAACAGAGGTCCAAGTGTATGACAGTGTATGGCAGGATGTTTGACCTCCTAGAATATAAGCATGACACGCTGTAATGATAGCTATGTGACGATGTTTAACATGATGTTTAACGTCTAGGGAGATTCACATGAGACAAGCATGACCGTTTTGGATGGGGGCCTCAATCTTGTGACTGTAAAACGTGTATATAAGCATGTGAAGGACACGGTTGGGGAACTAGTTGTACCATATTGCTGTATGTGATGACTACTTCCTTTCTTGCAAGAAATCAACACCTGATTATTTATATTCAAGCCGGTGGCGTGTGAGTAGAGTAGAAGAGGATGATGTGCATGCTGCATAAATGGATACTGATTTTAGTAACTGTATATGTGTTTGACCCTGCTGCAGTCCAGTCTCATTAGAAACAAGGACAATTGTGCCATCTAAAGGAACATTCTGGTATTGTTTGGACTTTTCTTCCAAAGTAGCCTATAATACATAAAAAGAGTTTCAAAAGTACAATTTGAAAACTTCAATCCTGTCTTTGACAACTCTTCTGTTTACCTTCACAGCAACAAAACTCGTAAACACTCAAAGAGAGATCTGAACTTGTCTTGATGAGCAACATCTGCATTAAAGATCGCAGTTTCCACATCATTGTATTTGTTTGACAGAGTAAATGTAAACGCAGACGTCATGCATGGCTCTGTGAATGTATAAAAGAAAGTCCACATATGGAGTTTGTTATCTGAGACATGCTGTGAATGATTACATCCAGGCTTTCACAAACTTCCCAGACTCATGGATCTAGATATTAGGCTTGGTTTGAACTCTAAATAACTCGTAAGATTGTTTAGTATTTCTCCAGGCACACATGTCTTATAACCCAGAAAGAGGAGTGATCACACAGTTACCAGAGGATGCAGCAGAGCAGAGTGGATGTGTGTGAGCAGCTCCTCAGAGGAGGTGGATACAGGCAGCGTGGAGGGAGGAGTGTGTGTCCTCCAAGATGGAAACACCAACACTGCAGGAAGCTCCATGCTGTGCTCTGCAGCCCTGCAGAACACACACAATAAGGGTCATATATTTAGCTTATTTTTAAGGCAAGGCTAGTTTATTTATAAAGCAGATTCCAACAACAATTCAAAGTGCTGTACAGCAAAGCATTAAGACATAAACACATTGAAAAAATGACATTTAATTTCGTATTTGTGTGTTTGATGGAGCCCATACTAGCATTACTAGGGATCATATTTTATCATCAGTTTGTTGTTTCTATATTTTTTTAATTGGTGTGTAGCATGCTGAATTGAGTTTTATCCAATCCAGACAAAATAACTTGTAGAAATGAATGTGTAACCCAACTGTCAGGGACAAACTAATAACACGAAAGAGCTGTTACCATTTCTCTGCCAGCCCATTGGTCAGTAGTCCGCTCAGCATCTCTCCTCTCAGAGACTTTGCTGCTTCAGTAAACAGTGATACACCTGCAGGACAAAGCAGCATCACATGATTTACTGACAGTGAACCTGGATCTGGGTGACATGTTCCTTCCCGTGTTGAAAATGTAGCTCTCTTCCATTTGAAACTTGTCAGCGGGGGTGCAGAAATAACCTCGCAGATTTTGCACAACACTCAGACTTCCAGCTAGGCACCGCTGTGGCCAATCAAATACGTGCAGGCACACATTCTTGTGAGATTACTTAACAAAATGCACCGCTGTTTCCTTCACAGTCGTAAACAGTTGTGCTAAGCTATTATGGAGTGATTTGTGTCTCAGAAGCTTTTAACCTTACACTAGTATTCCTCAAACTAGACTTCCGGTTTCATGGCTCACAGATACCTCAAGCACCAACACAGCCACAGGTGTCACAAGCCTAATGATACACTATTTTTTACATCTGAAATTGTTGACATTGTTGGTGTATATCCTTTAAAGTGAGTAAAAAAGTAACGTTTTATTTGAGCGGTATAAAACGCGAAAGGTCATCATCATCCAATACCAACACACAGAATTACAGCTTCCTACCTGTGTGTAGTTGTGTCTTAAACAGTCCCATCACTCTGTCAGGATGATAGCCTGCTAGCTCAGGGTGAGGCACTTCCTGAAGGAATGATGTCACTTCCTCTTTGGTAGAGAGCAGCACGGGAGATGCTTGGAGGCTCCTGGTTAGAGAAGGGACAAATACACGTGTGTTAGATATACACACAGAAAACAACCTTATTAAACTATGGAAAAAATAGAACAATAACTGATAGCTCTAGTGCATAAACAATATAGAATATAAAAGAAGCTCTTCCAGTAGAAAAAGGTTGGTGATTTAAAAATGTTTTGCTTGAAATTGGCAATAAATCCAGGTCTGTGTATTCTTACAAACTCACAGCAAGATGAAGCGATGCAGCGCCTCACTACCCAGCATGCCTCTGTAAAGCTGCGCCGGCTCCTCAGGGCGGAGCAGCAAGACGCAGGGGAAGGCCGTGATTGGCTGGAAGGGGATTGGGAGGGAGCTTTGAGCAGCGCAGAGGTCGGTCCACTCGCCACAGTCCACTGCACTCATCTGCACCTCAGAACCTGAACAGATTCAATAATCAGACAAATATCAAGATAATGATGATGTCACTATTTCATATTTTCGGCAGTTTCAAAGTAATTCAGTGATAGGTGTCTGTAACAAAACAGAACGCAACACTTGAAACCTAATAAAACAACCTAAACACAAGCTTCAAAAAAGGGCATTTGGTAAATAATCCTTATTACTGGATAAGTGACATTCTCCTACAGTATAGACAAAACTGGGTGTGCAGATGTTTTAATTGTGTCCTGTTTACCTTCAAGTCTCTCTGCAACTTCAATGAAGGAGCTGAGGAAAGCCATTGAAACTGCATCCACTGGTGGTGAAAGAAGAAACTGCACTTAAATTCATTTTCATGTATTTGAACTCTTAATTCATACTCATTTTCCTTTGAAAGAATATCAGGAAGAGTGTGGCTTACATTTGAGGTAGAAAAGCGCCACCGTCAGGCTGCTTTGAGATACTGCCGTGTGGAAGTTGTCAGAGGTTAGCTGGGTAATTGAGTCCATGTCCGGCAGGTTGCCTCGGTTTTCGTAGACGGACGCAGCAATCTCATCGTCCAGCTTGGCTTGAGGCAGACACAGAAACATGTACAAAAAAAATGGTATCTCCTCTTGAGGGATTAATCAACTTTGTCTACTTCTGTATTCTTTCCTTCTTTCTGTTTTATGCTCTAACACTTACCAAAATGTGAATCCACCTCCTCGTCCTCCAGCCACCCCTCGTCCTCCTCTTCGTCTTCCTCCTCTTTCTCTTGATTCGTGAAGAGCTCCAGCACCTCATCATGGTCGTTCAGGGTCAAATACTTCACCTCTGAACTCTTAAAGCACATCCACAAGAGTGTAAGACACACATTGTTTAAAAATAATGAGTAATCTTATTTTGTGAGTGGGCATCATACCTTCTCAGGCAGCCTGTAGGCAGCATTATATTCATCAGGGGTTTTCACAGCAGGACTCTGTCTGATAACACACACATAAACACACACAGGGATAAAGTCAAATGAAGAATATGACCGTAAAAAAAACAAAAAGCCCACCAGTGATTGGTACCTGTGCCTGTTACCTGTGAACGAGCAGCAGCAGGGCGAGGCCCCGGAGCCTCCAGGCCAGAGCGGTGGCCGTGTCCAGGTCCTGCTGCTTGGTCGCAGGGCGAGAGAACAGGAAGACCTGCGGGGTCTGCTGGTAGGGGAACTGGGGGGGCTGCACCGAGGAGGGGTCGTCGTAAACTTCAGACTAGTAGAGAAAAACATGACACAATTATGTACAAGAAATACATTAAATTCACTTCTGCCTGTTAGATTTCTTCAGCATTTGGACTGATATGAATATAATTATAATTTAGAAAAAGTATTCCAGAGTGGCTCTATCCTCACCACTAGTGGAGCCTCCATGAGCTGCAGGAAGGAGTGCAGGCTGAGGGTGGAGAGGGGTTTCCTCATGCGGGTCAGAGGGCAGCGCTCAGAGCTCAGTGGGAGTTTACTGTGGACTCTACAGTGGAGGAACCACACCTGAGAGGAGGGAGACGACTCATCAACACTGAGGAGAGAAGAAGAGACACAGTAAATACTTCTCTGGTATAATAGATAGTTGTCAGAAAACCCTAATCCTCTCATCTTAATGGATTCATGTATTTGATGATGGTAGTAGAAAGGGCCGCCTTTCACGCAGCTCCAAAATATACCATTATAAATTCAATCAGAGGGATGTTTCAGAGAGAAGGATTACTAATTTTACCAGGCTTACATCGGTAAATCAGGCCTATTTTTTTGATAATTCTTCATCATGTGCCCTGCTTTCCTCTGCCTCCTCTATGAATCACACTGTGTGACTGCAAAGGCCACGGCATATGACTCAGAGACATAGAGAGAGAGAGGCAAAAGAACGTACCCTAAGTGCTTCAAAACAGGGCCTCCGGTAATGAGGATGAACTGGTATTTGGATCCGTAGACATACGCTGTCTCCATCATCGATCTGTGCTCTTCGGTGACACAATCAGCAGAAAGGATACAATAATTTCTTCAGTCAGTATGTGTCTGTATCCAGATTCACTATGTTTCATCTATCAGTCAATGAATCAGTCTTTGATCCCAATGCATCACTAACAGTTTCCCTCCCAATATATCCATCCTCTCCTTCTTTTCCATACCTTGTGTTCCCAGACTGCGGACATAACCCAGCACGATATCCTTCTTCCCTCTGGCTGCTTTCTCCATGGCCAGCAGGTCAGTGTCAGTGTGGACGTACTTCACCTCTTCACGCAGAATGGCACTGGAAGAAAAAAGAAATGTCCTTTAACTGGCAAGTACCAAGGAATTAACCCTCATCAACTTACACCAATATAACTGAACGAGAACTTACAACAGGACTTCAGACACTATGGAGTTGACGTCAAACACTGTGTCCAAATCAAAACCCAGGAACTCCTTACCACCTCTGCCATAAAAACACAGTCACAGAAAGAGTCATGGAAATGTCAATACAATGCAACTGAATGTATCTTGACATATATAATCACCAACTGCTGTGCTCCACACACCTGAACAGAAACGCTGTGTGGCGCTCCCTTTCTTTTGTGCAGTATGCCTGGACCAGCTTTTTATCACAGTTGACCTAAACAGAAGGGATAAAAAGATACAAAAATGTGCACATCTTGTAGTTAATAAAAACGTTGACCTTTTTGGTGGAGCTCTAGAGAAATGCAGTTACCTTGCCAACCAGTACTCCATAATCCTGCAGTGCGTCAGCAGATTTCTCTAACTCCAGCAAGAACAGAGAGATGGTAGGAGAGACTGGAGACAGATAAATACTGTTATTCTTGATAATTTGGTTAAAAAGCATCAACAACTCCTGTTCTATCTGTATTTTTAAGGTATTTTCACGTGTTATTACCCTTTTGGTTTAGTATTTATACATGATTCCTAGTCATTTTGTGCAATTATTAAAAAGTGCAACAGTACACTGTGAGCAACAACTATTATGGTTTTCATTATTAAATAATAGCAACTGTAAAAAAAAACAAATTCTGTTAGGGATAAAACAATTCTGGTTACTTTGAATCTATATGGCATCATTTATTCAACATGTTGGGCTCATTAATCATCATCTGAACAATAATACATACCAGTATATATATTTTATGAGATGTTGCTTGTACTTCTTATGTGTGAGCAACCTACCTTGATGCTCAAAATAGATAAACATCATCTTCCCAGAATGCAATTTCTCATAGAAGTCTGCAGCTGTGTACTCTATTAATTCTGATGTGTTGGCCTTCTCTGTGCATCCTCCTGACCTCAGCCACAGCAGGAAAACAGCAACACACATCCACATCATGGAGAACAGGCTCTGTTGTGCTCTCTGTGAGGAAACATTATTGTATTATAAGCAGGAGATGCAGCAGTTTTATGTAATTACACGCTGAAAAAACATGATAATAACTAACTTAACCAAAGAGGGGTTACACAATGAACATATATCATATGACCTGCATTATAATATGTGTAAGTGGTTCATATTTGCTGTTCAGTTCAATTGAGCTGTATAGAAAGCAGTGACAAAAAAGATGCTAGATGCTGAGTGTTACCTGAGTTAGTCGAGGAGGGGTTCAACTTTTGTCTTTCCAAGTGGCACAAACGTTACCAACCACAATTAAAACCGTGGTCAGACGAAATAAAGGCATTATGAATTATAAATTGTAAGCATAAGCTTATACAACGAGTATAAAACCCAGAAGAAGGTCCAAAAATTGCACTTTTATACTTAGGAATGTAGTGATGGCTAGTCCATTAGCTAGCCTTGTTAGCTACCTAGTGATAGATGTTTTTCCATAGCTTTATGTGGCTAGCTAACGTAAACACCTATAAACTTAAAAGATACATGTTGTCATGTTTCCGTTGGAAGTGTAACGTTAAGCCAAAGAAAAAACTAACTTTGCAAGGTTATTTTTCACCAAGCTAGGAAGTGAATTTAAAAAAATGTAGCTTGGGAAAATGACTCTCCATATTTAGCCAAACAGTGTCAAGTCACTAGCGTCAGAACATCATTTCCGGTTATTCTAAAATAAATATCCTTAACTGACAAGTATGTTAGGAAGCTTTTATTCCATATCACTTCTATAATTAATACGAACTCGATACTGTAAGAATAGTAGCTGGTGAGAATATAGCTGTTTTATGTTCTAAATGTTATTCCCTATGTTGTGTTTCTGAGCACGGAGACATTTTTTGCTTTTATTTTGAAGGTAACAGTGCTTTTCCGCCACTGTTATCGCTTAGTAACTTGACGCACATGTCTGGGAGTTGTTTTGATGCCTCTTTTCTGTGCAAGAGACGCCCACGTGCGTCTTTTAGCCAATACCATGATGGAGCAGTTTTGACTTGAACAATATAGCACATAAAGGCGGGCATTATTACAGCTGACATCATCAGAAACCAATGGAGTGAGGAAGCTGTGGAGGTTGGTCGGTAAGATTAGCCAATGAAATGGCGTACTTGGAAATGGGTGTGTGGACTTCGTTCACTTGGGATAATCATCTCGGAAACTGGCGAGAATCTGTGGCTCCGGAGTCAGCTGTTTCACAAGAACATGCGTAGTGTTGAGCCAAGATGGCGTCCTATGCAGGGCTAGTTTCAGTTGTAGTTGAGAACAAGGGGGCGGGTCTAAAACTGCATCACAGCTGATCTGGAGGTTTTTCCCCCTTAAGTTGTTTTTTGCAGAGAGCAGCTTTGCAGACATCCACACAGGGGGACCTCTCTCTTGTTTTCTTCCTTGTCATTTTGGAACCTAGCGAATTTAAAAGAAGATCCTATTTTTTCTTCAGCCTATGATCGGATTCAAGCCCCAGCGCAGCTTTATTATGGCACTTGTTTTAAGAAAAACATGTTTTTTTCACCCGAATACCCTTGTTTTTTGTCATCCACGGCGGATTTAGCCTAGGTCTGACCCAGTTTTAGTGCGTTTGCCTTCCCTGCATCCCATGTGTTAGTCCGAGCCTTCAGTGGAGATGTTTTCGGCAGGAGAGGAGCTTAATTCCAATTTGTTTACCTCACTGAAGGAGTCCCCTGGAGCTGCAATATCACCAACACTGGAGCTCAGTCTCACTGCCGTCTACACCTTCCTCTACTCATTTCTGTTTGTTTTCGTGTACCTGCAGCTCTGGCTCATTTTGCACTACGGACACAAGCGCTTCAGCTTCCAGAGTGTGTTTTTGTTTCTGTGCTTGCTCTGGACTGCATTGAGGACGACCCTCTTCTCTTTCTACTTTAAAAATGTGGTGCAGGCCAACCAGCTGCAGCCTCTGGCCTACTGGCTGCTCTACTGCTGCCCTGTCTGCCTGCAGTTCTTCACCCTATGCCTCCTCAACCTCTACTTCACACAGGTAGGACTGCACTCTGGGTCTGCGTGTGTGTGTGTGTCTGTGTGCGTCTGTGTTAGAGACAGGGTGTGCAGTGTTCGTCTGTGTGACCCAATTTCATAAAGTAGCTGACACTGCAGTTTTGTGTTCTTTGTTTTTATCTGATTTCACACAAAAACACATGTAACTACCATGCATGTAAATGGAATTGTTATTATCCTATTATTCTTTTGTATCCCACTAACTTCTTCCCTATATATCCTAAATCCTTCTCACCCACTGCCCTGTGGGCCCCTAGCTCTTCGTGGATGATTACCCAATCTTAGTTAAAAGTGAGCAATGTGTCACAATGGCTTTGACACATTGAGTTTGCATGTCAGTTGTCCTTTTAGTAAAAGATAAAAGAGCAGCTATTCAAAAACTACAGCTCCCACGAGGCTTTGACAGTCAACCTCTTTGCACAAGCTCATTTGATCACTTATGTTGGACATTCTTTCATTATTGCTTTATAAACCGTTTACTAAATTGGTTAAAGGATTTGCAGAGCAGATTTATTGTTAATATATGCTCCTCTCTCACCCTTAAGTCTATGTCAATATAATAATGCCTTTACAAAGTATGTATTGTTTCATGCAGTGTGCAAACAAATGGCACATACCACTTTATCACATTTAACCTAACTGTGACCCTCTTGCTCGTACAGTACATCCCCTGTTGAGAGGATTGTGGGTCAGAATTGCCAGAAAAGCATGTTTTGCATATTGCAAAATGACTCAGGATGCAGTAGGATATCCTGATATGTTTGGCCTACTTGACATACTATGTATTCAGACATATAAAATAATATTGTGGCATACTAGTTGTGGTGTAAGGATACTAGAGGACAGATTGAATCTTGTTTTCAGGCAACCAGCAAAGATACACCTGGCTAAAACAAAGTCCCTTATGTAATCATGCATGTGAATTTAGATGTGTTGGTGAGTGGGCTTTGTTACCTTTAGACAGGGCCAGACTAGCTGTTCTCTTCCGTTTCCACTCTTTATATCCAACATTTCATCCTTGAAAATGGGAGAACGTGGTCACTATGGTCACCATCGGCCTAAATGTTCCAGAGTGGAGTGTGTTACCTGATTTGAAGCAGCAAGGTTGCTGTTGGTCTGAAAAGCCTGCAAATCGACTCAGTTCATGTCTCTGGCATTGACTGATTACTGAACGGGCCTACCAGGGGGATGAAAGTGACAGGAAGCATTTTGGCCTTCAACTAAAATGTCATTAAAGAGACTCACACAACCAGGAGACTCAAGATGACCTATAAGCAACATAAAACAGCTACAGAGGGATGCAAAACAGCTGCAAAGAGACACAAAAACTGAAACTAACTACCATAAAGTCTGTGTGTCTATGTAGGAGAGGTGGTGGGGCATTTTGCATGTCTATTTCTAGGGGCCCACTGTCTCATAATCCTCCCATGATCCTGGGGTGAGAGCTGTTAAGATCCCCCAGTAAAGCCCTATTAAGCCTCCTGTGATGTGTTTCATTCAATCAGTGCACAAGATTCAAACGTCCCTGACAAATCCTGTGTGCCAGTGGTTTCTGGGAGACAGAGTGAGACACAGTTGGTGTCAAAGACCTGTTTGTTCCTCCCTCAGAAAACACCTACACACTTTCAGTTTGTTACCATTCAGTCACTGCTTCAAAGGAAAACACAGAATCTAACAGCGAGTGGGAGTAGAAAAAGGAGACGCGTTCAACTTGAGTGGAGATTAGGTGATGAAGTTAAGAGTGTCTTATGACTGCTGAATAATCATCGTAGCCCCTCAGCTGATCTGCGACCAGTTAGTCTGCACTTCCTTTGAATAAAAACGAATGTATCACATGTATGGTGGCTGCCATTTTCCTTCCACTTCTGAGCCAATGATGTTCTACCTTGTCATTAGGTTCAAAAGTATGCATCTCTGTCATGTGACTGGCCACCTTAGCGGACAAACTTTTCCTACTTGAGGCTGCATGTCTAGCCAGGTCAGGCCTGAGTTATAGATCTTAGAAACATTGACCAATCCTGATGAAACAAATTCACTTTACAGTCTTAGTTATACTAGTTATCAATCAACACATGCTACTGAAAGTTTTAAACAAAACACTGAAGCAGCTATAATCAACAAATTGATATTAATAATGAATGAAATGACTAGTATTTGGAAAGTGCATGGTCACTCATAGTCACAACCCCACAGAAAAGTCATCCAACCCTAGCATTTTAGTGTCTTTCAGCTCCTTGTTTTGGTTCACACTGTTTGTGCTGCGTTTGTGTAACGACTGAGAAAAAATAGGCCAAGTAACGCATGCCATAAGCAGAATGCTGATGCAACATCATGCCACCATCTGACACACACTCATGTGTGGAAATACTTATGTGTTTTCTGATGAGTCAGGCATGACCTCTGTGATTTACTTCCCACTTATTGCATTTTAGCTCCTTCTTCCTATAGAAAATAAAACGGTTGGGTTACAAACATCGTATCAAAGCTTATTCTCTGCACAAAAAAAATTAAAATGTAGCTATTCATTTTTAGGCATACAGTATAGGGCAAACAAAGTATGTAATGGGGTCGTGTTCTTTTGGCTTGTTGCTTCATTTCTAAGTTGCAAATTACCTCTTCTGACCAACATTCTCGCACAAAAGTGTTGATGTGTGTGTGTGTCAAACTTAATGTTGACCATGTTGAGCGAACTACACAACCTCTGCGGCCACTGCACCTCTCATTATGTGTGTGTGTGTGTGTGTGTGTACTTTAATGACACACAGGAATCTCTACAGGCTATGTTGAATTCACACTCTTCCTCTAAATGAACCCTCATTTTCTGTCCGATCTTCAATGTGAGATTTTTTTAAATACCATACTGGGATTATTAAATGAGTACAGAAACATAATTTATGATTTTTATGTTTTTCTTTCTTTGTTTAGGTGATGTTTAAGGCTAAAGCCAAGTATTCTCCAGAGCTCACTAAATACAAGTAAGTCTGTCCTTTTGAGATGTTGCTTATGAATTTAGTTTTGGTTGTCTTCTTACTCTGTCTGTTTTTGCCTCCTCTCCCCAGGGTTCCTCTGCGTCTGTTCTTCCTGTGTCTCAGTATATTTTTCCTGGTGGTAAATGTAACTTGTGCGTTGTTAGTGCAAGGAGCTCTGGAGCGCTCTGAGTCACCAAGGTAAGCAAAAACAGTAAAAAAGACATGTTCCCCAAGATAATAATGTCACATTTAGAACAGCTTACCTTGAAAAACCTCCATGTCTGCAGTGATGGGGGAATCAGACACGCGGTGCTGACCCGGGTCCTGATCAACGACAGTCTGTTTGTCCTGTGTGCCGTCTCTCTGGCCGTCTGCGTCTTCAAGATCGCCAAAATGTCCTCTGCAAATGTTTACCTCGAGTCCAAGGTAGGGATAAACAAACATTAACAAAAAGTATATTTAATTTTCTATAAAAAAGTCAGTATTTCACAAAGTAAAGCACGGTAAAAATGTATGTTATGGTAGTGTGTTTTCGTAGCAGGTATTAGGAAACACAAATCAGTGTTAGCATGAAAATCTCTGTGTATTAATGATAAAAAATACCAGACACTAGCTGTTACCCGGATGTATGTTATTGTAAAACCTCATTTACAGTGTATACAGTGACACAGACTATCATAAATCCCTTGTTAAAATGCTCTAGATCACTTTATGCTTCCTTTATGTTCACTCTGAGCATAAAGGGTGATCAAGCCTAAGGTTATTGAGCCATTTGTACATGTTACTTTTGAAAATTGTGCAGTTTACGGCTCTTGGTAATGGTGTCTCAAATGTATGTCCTACAAAACTCAATTCCTGGCCTATAATCCGCCATGTTTGTCACGGAGAGGTCTCTTTTATTTGCTGGATCACATCTGTGGCCCATATCTGACATCCAATTTCAGCCAGCTGATGCATGTCTTGTAATAATAAGCACAGTAATCTTCCCCCAGGGTGCATCAGTGTGTCAAGCTACAGCCATAGGAGCCGTGGTGATCCTGCTGTACACATCCAGAGCCTGCTACAACCTGGTGGTGGTGGCCCTGTCGCCGCAGGACAGACCCAACCCCTTCAACTACGGCTGGTTCAGCGTTTCCGATCAGGTACTGCCCCAAGTGTTGGAAAACAGGCTTGTTTTGAGCCAGACACCCACTGCCCTGTGTGTGTGGACAATCCATTTGATGAGATTTGGGGAAGCAATGCTTAGTGGGGTAAAGGGCTTTGTTTGGCTAAAAATAAACCAAATCTCACCAGTGTGTGCGTGTGTTGTGTGTGTCCTCCTGACCTACATCATGGCTCAGGAATTAAGACACACAGCCCATTTCAAAGAGGGTTTGTTTGTGTGTGTTGGACACCTACTGTGTGGATATAATCTGTCACGAATGATGTCTTTAATCTGTCTGTATACCTGCTGTCAGTACCATATCTCAACATGTGTGTGTCTTAAATGTTAGATATTATATGTGCAAATGTATAAAATACAATATTTTCTATTTGTTAACCGTGCTCAAGAGCCATGATATCATTATGCAATATGTTCATGTGTGTTACAGGCTGATGTGCAAGAGATCAGCGGTGAAGCCTACATTGTGTTTGGGATCATTCTGTTCTTCTGGGAGCTGCTACCTACAAGTTTAGTGGTGGTTTTCTTCAGAGTCCAGAAACCCAACCAAAACCTGGTAAAATACAATAACTGCAATAATCTGTCGTACAAAACTGTGACCTTTCAGAGCTGTAATGTGTAATGAACTTTGATCAACTCTAGGCTCCAGGAGGGATGATCAACAGTCACAGTTTCAGCTCCAGAGCTTATTTCTTTGACAATCCTAGACGGTACGATAGTGATGATGACCTGTCAAGAAGCATTAATAGTAGGAGTGATCGAGCCAGGTAGGCATAACCCAAGCACAAGTAGTCTTTAAAGCTTTGTATTGGAAAATCAATACCCTTACTGACAAAATGACTTTGGATTGATTTCTCTTATCCTCCCTCTCCTATCTCTTGTTCAACATTTCTCCTCAGCCTTCTCTCCAATACTCCCCAGCTGGGCACGTCCAGTTGGTATGGCGCCATCCAACGCAATGGAACACTGACGGCAGGCGTCGGGACCGCGCAGCAGGCGCCATCTTCTACGGCCCCCCTGCTATTCGCCTACGGAAACATCCAGAGTGACAACCCGCAACATCACAACTATTACTCCACCCCGCAGAATAACAACTACCACCATCACCATCATCACAGTAACTACTATTCCACGCCACAGAATTATTACTCTGGGTCACAAACGTAATTCTGCACCCCACAGAATTAAACTGGGTTAGAGTTAAAAAGACTAATAGCAATTTCCTGTCACCATTTAGCTTCCCCAGACCATCATTGCAGGTACTTTTGAATGATATTCTGAGGGATTGCTTTGGACCAAGTTGGGCCTAAAAGTTGGTTCGAAATGTGGTGGCATCAGTAGCTGGGGAGTTGTTTTGCCATGGCCTTTTTTAGGACATTACTGTCTCTAAATTATTGGATCAGATATAAAACACTGGACGCATGTAACAGAGTTTTAGCGATAATCTGTCTAATACACCTAAAACCGCAAAGACCAAACTCTTTCTGTTAAATGTTTTAGTCACACGATTGGAATCATTAGGGACCAGATAATCATAGCCCTCATCATCTTCTTGTAAATTGGATCCAATTATGGAACATATCATTCCGCTCAGACAAGAGCCATATAGCAGGCTAGCTAACATGGCTAATGAGGAAGCTGCCATGGGCTGTTGTTCAACAGTTCTTAACACACAGACATTATATTGACTTGACATAGGTCAAAGTGTTATTTGGGTTGTCAAAAGAGTTGTATGACTGTTTTTAGTCAGCATGCATATTATACAATCGCCATTTAGCATAAAGAAGGGTAATTTGGCAGGAAGAGAACAGTGTAGGATTCTGGCCTGCTAGCTTAAACTAATTCTTAATAAGGCTTCTCTGACAATGAAAAACAGATGCATCTACATAGGGTATTTTATGTTGTTTCTTACCTTTAGGTCTGGTTACGTTTGACAGGAATTAGCAGTCGCTAATTTGCCATTGACTGTTGTAGCAGTGAGAGCTACCTTATCGCCTCCTCTAACAGTTAGCTTAACTCAAACAAAGAAAATTCCCAGAGACCTGTCAAAACTGAATTGCAGAAAAACAAATCAAACTTTCATCTATCCTTAACATACTTGGCAATATTATTTTGTTGGTGGCAAATTATCTTTTCTTCAAACAGTGCTTGTTAGGTTTGGTGCCACAGAAATATAACACCATTAGCAAGCTTAAGACTTTAACCTTCCTACTCAGTAGGCTACTGGATTTTGGTTTAACATGTAAAAAAGGCTTATTACAGTAATAATGTAATCAAAAATACTGGTCAGTTTTTTTTTCGGGGTTCATAGGTGTCATCCATGTAAACTGCTTACCGCTGCAAAAGTGAGATGTATGTAGCATCCATATGCTTGGTATCGTCAATCTCAACAGCACAAGCTTGATCAATATTAGTGTGTGAAAATGTAACATCTAACATTTATTATAGAAGTTAATGGTGGAGGAACAGTTTCAACTGATGACTTAAATGACCGACTCAGGCTTTTAACTAAATTTGCTCGGTTCCGAGAACATGCCAGGCTGTTGGATTATTTAAACAGCAGCCTAATCCAGGTTTACTTCCCCATTAATAATACAATGGAAACTACATTACAACCTATAACAGGGAGTGCTGAATGTTTGGGATTAAAAAACATATCATAGATTCTACTGGACAGTAGCACTATCATTTGGAGGATATTTAAATGAAAGTATCAACCTGCATTCAACTTTGGAAGAGCCCTAGGATTGTACATTACCACGTTGAAAATATCATATTTTTGACCAAAAAAGATTCGCTGAAGCAACAATTTGCACTTAGAAAAAAGTTCACCTTAAGAGAAAAAAGCATTACTTGTTTTATGCGTGTTCTCCAATCATCGTCTGTATTTAATATTTATCCCTTTTGAGAAAGAAAATATCAATGTGCCATCACATTAAGTCATGTCTTATAGTTTCGTTCCTAAAGGAAAATATTTTTGCACAAGAGCGATCGGATAATGTATTTTTAAAGGTTTGTGTGTCACCTTAATCGATTTCTAATCTATGTATTTTGGAATCTGTATGTGTGTGTGATCTTACATTTCAGTTTTTAAAGGTTGCTTTTATACATTTATATTTTTATTGTTTAACAGATTTGTATAGTTTATTTTTTTCTCCTATTGTTCATTATCTCTTATATCTTCTGAATTTCTTGTCAGACTGCAGCCTGTAAGCAATATTTCACTTTGATGGAACATTTGTGGCATATATGACCCAGCTCTTAGATCAAAGTCAGTGTACGCATCTGTGCTAAGTCAGAACTGAATGAGAGAAATGTGACCCAACATCACGGTACTTAAACAGACTTCAGCTGTCATGAAACTCAATCTGTAAATGACCAAGCAAACATTGACTTCATACCAGAAAACACAGGACACTGAAATACGATGGAAATGAAGCTGTTTCAGAAATAATATCATCTGCAGTGCATGCATCAGAGTGCAAGATCTCAGTATCATACTTTTTTCCCAAGGTGATATAATTTATGTAAAAATGTTGCCCTATCTGCTTCAAAATGGCAGAGATTATTGTGTTATGATTTGTTCATCATGTTATTGATTGTTTTATCTGTGGCCATATTGAATGTAACCTGACGGATCACTAACGATGTATGCAAGAAAAGCACTACCATGTTTAAATAAAGGCCTACTGCACTGTTTTTAAAACTAAAATAACCCGTATTTCAAATGTTGTTCTGTAAAAGTGTTAAAGGGGAAATGACCCTTTCTACCTGGCAGTTTCACACAGAATACAAGTGTGATCACCACCATAACTGTGCACAGACATGCTAGTCATGTGCCTGAGTTTAACAGTTAACAAGTTTATAAGGAACATCCGAATTAAGCTGAGACCGCAGCTGGTCGATCACTGCGAGACACGGCAGGCTGTGTATCTCTGCTGAGACATAAACACACGTGATGCAAAGGAATCCACATGTTTCACTATGCTGTGTTTCTGCAAACAACATTTGCAATGATTGAGCATTTATTTTTTGAACAAGCAACACATTCTCAAAGTCTGATGAATAATTTCGTACAGATAGCTCGGAGTAGGCCGACGTATGACTGTTATTGCAAAATTTGAAATCATAATATATAGATTTTCCAGTAAAGATCTTGTTTTATGTAACAATGATTTTAGACAATATGTAACCTAATTAAATATCCAGAATCCTGAAAAAAAAGATCCTTGTCAAGCCTGCATTTGGAATAAATTAGATTTCTTTTAAATGATTAGTTCAGAAACACACAAAACAAAAAGGCAGCCAGATTCAAAGACATTGTAAAGATTTCCAGTGTTTCTAGTATCCCCCTTAAAAATGTATATTATGTGAAGCTGATTTACATTATCATGAAATGTGATTCTTGTTTACGCCCAATTTTTATTTTTTATTTTACTATTATTTGTTAAAACCAGCTCTTTCTGGATAAGTGACACTTTTAACATCGAGCTGCTGCTCAAAGATGTGAAATGTTACAAAAATATTTGTCATCCAAACAAATGAACACCCCAGAATGAAAAATATTTAAGGCATTAAGGCATTTGGAAACAGACCAGGGCTGGAAACATTCTGGATTCAGTATCGAGACATTTTTTGCCTTTTTAGTCAACATCTTGGGCGTCATCAGGTTAAGTATTATTGGGGCTGTTTTTAAGAAATATTAGACAAGCCAGGAAGAAAAGCATGAATTTGCGATGACATTCCCAAAACCTTTATCCATTTTCCATCATGTATCATGATTACATAATTTAAGATTACAACTGTATCACTATTTTCTGCATCCAATCGAGTCCCACTATGCTTGAAAAACCCCAGATGCAGTGTCTGTATGAGCACATTTTGGGAAAATATGTGTAGAAATTAGCTTATTTAGCTGATTGGAGATCAGACCACAATGGGAAAACCACAGTTCCTTTTTCTGTCAAACATAAAACACAGACCCTTTTCCCTGCTGTGTTTTCTTGATGTGGAAATCAGTCCTGGTCCCTCCAACAGCCTGTCTCTCAGCACTAATGTTAGTTTAGAGTGACAGGTAGGCATTTTAAAACCTGTGCTTCCCTAAAATCTTATTTAAATTCCTCTCTCTGACCCAACAAAATCAGGTCATTTTGGACGACAACTCACTCTTTAAAGATTTTAATTGTTGTGGCTACCGAACCGTCAGAAAGGTCACTCGGGAGTTTAAGAGTTCAAAGTCCTTCTTCATCGCTGCTGTCCCAAGATGCCGGGCTTTCCGATCTCCGGGGAAGGAGTATTTGCTTCTGTCAGGATTCATCTCCCACGTCCTGGTTGATGACATGACTGTATCCCCGGTTGTTGGTTGGCTCCTTCTGCCAACAAATGACTCCGAGGAGGAAGGCGACGAGGAAGATGAGCAAAGAACAAGACACCGCCAGACTGATGATCACTTCTGAAGATAGAGAATGGAGGATTAATGGAGGCACAAACAATATTTTCATTTTTATTTGAGCAGTTTTTAGTGTGTGTTAACCTGTATCTCTCCCTTTTGACGGCAGTTGGCACTCTTTGTCTCTGTCGTCTGAAATGGAGAGCTTTGTAATTCTCACAAAGTCATCTAGGGGGCAGTCAAGAGAGCAGCCTGGTATCTGAAGAGGGTATGGCTCCACTGTGCTGTCATTCCGGTAGAACATGGACACAGAGGCAGAGCTGGAAAGAAAGGGAGAGTTTTACTGTCTGTGATGTCACATTTAAATACATGTAATCTTCCCTATCAGCTGTTTGGATGCATTAACAGACCTTAAAACATCACAATTTTTGTTTGTGTATTTGTAAGTCTCATCTATTTATTCCACTGTTCGTAAAAGGTATGTTTTTTTTACCCGTTTTCATCCCTGTAAAGCTCAATTATATGACAGGAGGCATAAGGTGGCTGTCTTCCGTTGAACACATTCAGACTGGCCTGAAGAGCGGCTACCGTGGTGTCGTGCTGTTGAACAGGAACACATTAAAGGAATTAGACAAAACAATATGGTATGGTTAGCTTGGCACAAAGACTGGATGAAGAGGAAACAGCTAGATGTAAAAGTGATTCTTACCGCTGACAGCATCATCAGTTTCAGCCTCTGGTCAGGGTCTGGGACGGCCATTGTTGAAAGTTTCTTCACTATTTCTCCCAATAGCATACCTGGAAGAAAGTCAGCAGTTTGTATATCCATATGCACTCCTGTATTTAAAAGGATAAGACTGGTGATAATCTAGATAAACACACATACCTCCCATCAGCCGGCTCTTTTCTTGTTGTTTGTAGACCCCAAATGTGATCTGTGAAAATCAATCAGTACATTGAAATAGTCCTTGACTAGAAAATAGTATTTAGACCTGAAGGAAACCTTGGTGTTGCGACTTCTTTTACCCGAAATCCAAAGTCTTTGAGCCATTGGAGCTTCTCCATGACTTCAGGAGTCACCCAATCAGGAGCAGACTTGTTGTGACGGGACTGAAATCACACGAAAAACACAGAATTATGAAAAGCACAAAAAAACACGTGGTAATTAAACAAATTTAAACAATGACTAAAAGCTTTAATTAAGAAGAGCAGTTATACAGTTTAGTGAACAAGTAGTGAACTTTGTGAGGACCAAAAGCACCAGTGTGAAACCGATACCAGTTCCTCACTTCTGTTCCTTAAACCAACATGTGTCTCTGTTCCTTTAAAACTGATGAAGACCAGTAAGTCATAAACCAACACCAGTTTTGGTCAGTAAGCTAGCTCAGCAGTTTACACAAACTGTTGTTGTTCAAAATATTGAAATGTAAACGGCTTGTCATTGTGTCTTGCATAACAGGATTTATTTTGAAATGAAGGCAACAAGTTAGCTTCCTGAAAAATAATGAGAGTGTGTGTGTGTGTGTGTGTGTGTGTGTGTGTTCGCTCACCTCACAGAACAGTGTGTCGTGCACGCTCCAGACTGACTCCACAGTAGTCTTATTGAGTCCTGTTTTGTTCTTCACCAGATCTATAATATCCTGTAGAGAAGAACACAGTATGCTTCACAACACTTTAAAGCATTCTACGGAAGCCCTGAGAGGCAAAATAAAAATGTATGTATGGTAAAATGTAAATCTCTTGCAGGTTTATTCCTAAACAGGTAAATGGACAATCTTTTTTAATATGCGATAACATTGGGGTAAAAAAATGTTGCCAGGTAAAAAAAGATATACATATATTGTGTGTTTCAAATAATGGAGAAATTAAGAATCCCCTGGAAGAAAACCAAAGAAATTATGATTTTACTAATTTGGAAAAAATAAGGGGTAGTGGTGCTTCCCAGGTCACATAGAAATGGACTTATTTTTCTCTTTATTGCCTCTCATGGCTTCTGTATTTATCATAAAAACCCAACATGCAACCCTGGAATTCCTGTACCTGGTATGCCAAAGTGACATTGATGAATTCCTCCGTTTTTTCAGTTTCATTCATCAACAGGTTGTAGCGAGGGCAGTCATCCAGAGGGTAATTGAGAAGCTAAAAAAAAAAAAACAACGTTTAGACAAAGTGAATTAGAGTGAAGCGCTGATAACCTGTTTCTCTACACACATACCCCCTCTTCACTTTTTGGCACCGTGTGTACAGGTATCGGCTGCCAGGGCATATTTGGATTGAAGACCTGCTGACCAGACGGGGGGTACAGACCTGAAGGATGGGAAAGAGGCTGTTAGTACAAGCAAGAAAAGTACTACGTAGAGAATTACTGTTAGTTCGCTGACCTGCAAGGTTGGATTCAGCGCTCATCATTGTGCGATCGTAGTCCGTACTGCGAACGTGGATCTGAGGACAAGATGAAAAACACCTCCATCATGAATTCCAGCTCCGGTGGGAACGCTGTATAACACCCACATGGCAAGGGGCCCCTCTTCCTCAATATCAATGTGATTCATCGTGTCTGGGAGCTTGGTGCCATGTGATCTGCCAGCGGAGAGGTTACCTGCTTCCTGTCGTAGGAGTCGTTCAGGAAGCCTTTGTATCGGTTCCTCAGGAATTGGCCCAGTTCAAAATGCTGCATCATCCCCACCTAAAAACAGAGAGACACTTGTTTTTTAATTCATGATGAGGCGACAGAAACTCTTGTACACTGTTGCAGAACAAATAGGGACTCTGTGAGGTTCAAGTGGGACAATAACAAGGGGTTAAATTAACTCAACTATAGAAATAGATTGTTTTAAAGGCAAAAAGAGTATGCAAGACAATATATGTGCAGATGCCATGCAAACACTTGGATAGACAGACATATTCATCATACCTGTGATAACTGTCCAAAGCCTTGTGGCCAGTCGCCCTCTTGATAAGGGTCTGTAGGATAGGCTTTGACTGGAGACCTGTCACCATGCCGGAACAACTGGAAGAGGGAGGACAAGATGTCAACAACACCCAAAAAAACAACAACAAAAAACACTTTTTCTGTGGCAAAAGATGTGACGTATCATTCAGTATTTTCTGTATGGAAAGAAAGGAACATACTTTAATTGGGTGATAAGTAAGGACATCAGCACAATTTCTATCTACGTTTATTTTACTTTCAGTTACCTCAAGTGACTTCTGTTTGGAATTGATCTCTATTATAGGCCCTATTTCTCACAATTTGATGGCATCTGTAGTCAACATTGCTTCTCAAAAGACAGCACTAATTTTCCCATCAGTTTAAATGTCACAAGATACAATCTTTGTTCTTGTTTGAACTGTGTGGTTGGCTGTGATAAAGTCCAGTCAGCCGACAGTGACGGTCTTGCCAAGAATGTCTTGCCACTCAGGAGTGAAAACAAACAGATACAAAATGTAACTGTAACAATAAGAGGAAAACAAGGACAAAGAGTGAGAACAGGGAGCTTTCTCTTTGAAATGGGTCATTCACGTATAACTTCTCCTTTAAAAATGAATAGAGAACTCATTGAAACCAAATTGTTAGTTTTGGTTGAAACATTGTTACTGGAAGACACCAAATCAAGCGTCTATTCAAGTAGAACAGTTTTGAGTTTCAATCTTCAAGCCGCCTCAGAGGAGTGTGGTTTCTAGTTTCCTCATGATGCATGACTGCCTGTCCAAAATGTAAATTCTATTTGAAGTGTGGATTATCCCTTTAAGACCACTAATCTCTTCTACTTTAGATGTGGCTACCTCGCAGGCAATTAGGTCCCGGGGGCAAAAACATAAACGTCTGTTAAAGGCAATCAACAAATACTACTTTCATAAATCCATGTGGACCTGCTGACATATTTTAACACCGTCACAGCAAGATGCTTGATGTCTTAACACGAAAAACCTGAGCGAGTCCAATGCTATTTCAATTCCCACATCCGTGACAGGTTCCATGTCTGTAACACTAGAAAACAAGAAATGGAGGGTGGGGAAAAAGAACCTACACACTAGTATAGAGAAATAAGAGCTTATGACAAAAAACAGATAAACAAATTCACTAATTTGCCATCTAAATAGACAGGAGTGAGATTAAGCACACATCGAGATGTTTTCTTCTCACTAGTTTCACTTTTGCATGCATGTGTCTGGTATCATCTCGCATTGACGTCATGAGTATCTAATTGTTTCCCTGTCAGTACAATACGTTCTGTGTCCTTGGTTGCTACGGGAACAAGCATTTTTTCCAGGTGAGCTGTAAACAGGTTTAGGGCTTGGCAGATGCAAGCAAATACTTTATAACTGGATTCCTAATATGTGTCTTTTTTTAAAGGGATCAGAGAAACATCCAAGCAGAGTTTCTAAATGACCAAATTGTTTTCATTCTGACCAAACTGCACTGAAATGTATCAGCAATTCTGTAGCGAACATCAGCTGTGTGGTTTATTTTCTTAATACAGCCGACTAGTCACCTGACAGGATGAGTGTCTGTCTAGTAATGACCATTGCTCATGTACATTCCGATTAGTGTTTTAATAACCGGTTTAACTTGCAGGATAGACTAAATATGTTTGAAATGCAACAGAACACAAATAAATAAAATTAGCATGAGAGTTCAGTAGACCTCAAATGATTTATTTAAAGTGTCAGCTAGACCGTTTCTAACAGTCCTTGAGAAGACTTGAACATTCTCAAATTCAAATTGCTTTAAGTTAAATTATAGCTATATGTGTTGCAAAGAGTAAGCCTAGTAGTCGCAATGCATTAGAAGAAAGCAGTTGTAAACCAAACAAAAAAATAAGCTTATTCTTCTAAACTAAGGGTTGCTAGGTAGATTATTAATAAGCCGAATTATTTAAAAAACCCAATTTATGTGAAACAGACTTAATTCGAGTTCAGAGAAATTAACATTTGCACAGAAAAGCAAAGAAAAAACAAAACTTCAAAAATGTTGAATAATAGTTCCGTAAGTGGCTAAAGAGATTCGTTGCAACTCGCTGAGTTAAACACATCTTCCGTATCGTTATATTTAATATAATGTGTACTCACCACAGTCACATATACTAGTTGTTTTTCTGCTGCAGCTTCTCCACATACAGAGCCAACCATTAAAACAAAGAGCACCACAGCGGACTCCATGTTTTCGTCTGTATGACCGGAGTGCTAACCTATATTTGCTAACCAGAGATGATTGTCGGTTCCTTAGGTCTCCTGTCTGAGCTGCGTCAAGTCAACTATTGTTACATTAGCAGCAACTAGACCGGAAGTTAAAGAATAAAACGTAGCGGAAAGGTTAGCGAATAAACCGCATGTCTGAGGGCACGTGAAGCATTATAAAGATAATCATATATTTAGTTTACTATTTTATGTGCATAGTTACATTTTGCCAGTATTTTCTTTTCATTTTTAGTACAAACATGTAAGATGTAATTTAGCTTGCCTTTTATTTTGAAATAAATAGCCTGCGTAATGTTAGCTGACTTCACACGGAAAGGGAAAACGGAAGTGACGTGACATCAGATCCGTGTGCGAACATGTCAACAGTCCGGACTTCTCAATTGAATACCATTCACAAACTGCGACACAACAGACTTAATTCATTGACTGCACTGTATTTTATTGAATCACTAACATCCACAAACAACAGGCATGGTTCTCTGTATCTTCTTCGCCATTTATGAAAAAAACAAAAACATTATAGTTTTGTAAATTATTGAGTGTCAAATTCTCCTAATAAGGCTATCAACATTTTTGAGTTAATTGTGTCAAAAGGAAAACGTTTTGAAGATATTATTAAAAAATGTATATTATTTTGCCTATCATACCATTTTGAGTTTAAGGGTTGCAGTTGCTATTATGTGCCACTAGAGTTCAGTGTTGTGTCATGTCAGACATGCAGTATTTGCAATGTTGCTGTGTATCCTTTAAATTCAAGTACTGATTACAATAATGTGCCTATAGGTAACATATGTTGCTGAAACCTTTGATTTAACTGATCAAACATTTAGACCTGGGGATTTTTAACATTATAGTGGATAAGCAAAGATTAAACTACATGAGAAATATGTTCAGCACCATAAACCAGTTATTCAGAATATAACCAATTCAACAGATTTATTGACATAAAAGAATCAATGTGTGTTTTGATCTTGAGAGCAGTTAGTCCGTGAAACCTTTGGTGCTGAGCTGACATATCTCTGACATGATCCCCTGGTACACGGATCTATGTTTACACAGTGAAAAGCAGTTTTGTTGTGCGACAAGAAGCACTAATCCCGGATCCCAGTGGTAATCTAATCCTCAACTACCTTTTTTTCCTGACCAGTATTCATCTACAATACTGTAACATTGTAAAAACGTTCTTTTACAAACAAATACACTGAATAAACATGAGGAACATGGCCTCCTAGCAAATATCAATGTTTTAACAATTAACTTTTCTCTATCCTGTTTGGTTTATAGTATATTTTGCTATAACTGCAAGATTAGTGAAATATCTTTAGAAAACGTCACAGTTGGACACTTGAACTCATATTTTAAATGTTAAGAGGCAGAAATCAAATGGAGACAGAATATTTGGTGAAGCTTTAGACTTTATTTATATATGTATTACTCTGGGTGTATTTGCCAGTCTTAACTATGGGTGGGGTGGGTGTGTTGCAGATGTTACAATACTCTATAATGTGTAAATGTTTGAAAACCCAATAACATCATTTGAATAACAAGTTTAATTTCACTTTGACTCTCCCCCTGCACAAACACTTTCATCACAACACAGCTAAACTCCCCTTACAGCTGCCAAATACTGAACATTGCGCTGCTGCTATGGCAACTACTTCTTCAGCTACCACTTTTACAAATAGTACAACTATATCTACTATTACCATACTGAAAATTAACCTTAAAGGATATGAGCTCCTAATTGCAGCTGTTTTTCTTTTACTTGTATCAAAATCAGCCTGCAGTACACACAGTTTACTTCACATGAAGAAAAAGAGTCCATGAACAAACCAGGATAATGCCACGTGTTTTTTTGAGATGGCACACCTGGACATTATCACAAATAAAAGATCACTGCAGAACAACACAGATTAGTGTTGTAGTAAACCCTGTGGGAATCAGTACAGAACATCCCATGAACTGCCTGCAAAACATATAGCCCGCAAAACAACATTCTTCGGCATTCAGCAGTATTCCCTCAGATTATATGCCAAGTTATTGCACATCTTTGCCGGTAAAGTGTCAACAATACGCCCTTTGTTCCTTTGTTTTGGCCCTCAGGCTGCTTATATATGTGTTACTAAATCCCGGCAAAGGTGTTTATGTTTTTGCTCATATCTCAGATTAAAGGTGACGACTAATGCTGAAAACACATGCTAACCTGGCTTAACCCGGATAAATTAACACTTGTGCAAAAACAGAAAAATAGGCAGTGGATGAATGTCACAGATCACACACACCGGAATCAACAAAAACAATGAGAACAATAGTGATTAGAGAAGGCTGGGATTACCCTTAATCTGTAGTATGTGTTTTTTATATGCTCATTAAGAACTAGTTAAAGCCCCCAATCAGCTATAGCATCTAATGCACACTGACACCTCATCAATAGAGGTGTAATCTGCTTTCTGGGAGATTATAAAGAGCAAACCATGTGTTTTTAGCTTGGGCAGGGGGTCAACATGAGTTGACTAATGATGTTGAAGATCACATGGAGAATTAGTAACGTAATTACCAAGATGATCTGATGAGCTGATGTCTGTTATCTTCCCCCTGACTTCTGACCGACCCCTTAACAGCCTGCAGTTATCCATTTCTCTGATCATGATCTAAACTAAGGAACAAAGTTTAGTTTGTTTTGCTAAACTCATGTTTAGGAAGAGTTGTGTGTGAGCAGCCAGACGATGGCAGCATTTCTGCAGCGTGTTATGACACAGAAGTCTCTGACGCAAGTCTTTAGTCATCTCTTCTGTGAGATGGCTGTTTTTCATTCAAAATAAACACTTTGTACCAATGCACCAAAGTGCAGAACAAGTGTATAATAGGATTAAATAACTGACAAAACAAGGTTCCTTCCCTTCAGCTGATTCACCAACATACAGCAATAACTATTACCAAATGCTGGATGGGAGATACATGCTGATGTGATGATAGGAGGATCCAGTTGGGGAGGAATACCCACAGGTTTAAATATAGACCACAACAAGGTTTATATAACAAATGGCACGTAAGGGTTGTTTACACTTTTACAGCCTCATAAATAAAGGGTTACAATCCAACATAATTTCAACGCCTCATAAATCTAAATTGACTTGTCAATGACATTGTAAAAATAATAAAATGTTTGATGGAGGAATCAATCTACTGCAGTAAAACAGATATATAACAATAGCCCTCTATATACTTTCATTTTTTAATGCAGGAATTGGTTGTTTTTCTGATTTCTGTTCATACATGAGAGAGCTGTTGGGAAAGCAGTGGGCGGGGTTTGCCTGTCTTGAATTATTGAATCAGCCAATAGGCAGCGTCAGAGCCGGTCGATGGACAGGCACGGCCCCTGCAGAGGCCCCGCCCCCCTATGACTCTATGTTTTATTCTGTTTTTAGAGCAGCAGCGTCACATGTTGTTTTTATCCTGGATCAGATCAGTCCCGCTGCACTGTTGCTTCTACCGTGGCCGAGGACACATCTATAGACCTCTGCCATGGATTAAACACATTTTTAAAACGGGATATCATTAAAGTTTTTTTGCAAACGAGTTTTTTTAAATTTTTTGCTTATCTGGAACTTGAAAAAAGAGAAATGGCAAGTCCGCCGGCGACGGGAGGACACCTGTTATCGAATGGGACGTACGGAGTGAAGAAGTGCGGATACCTGAGGAAGCAGAAACACGGACACCGGCGCTTCTTCGTGCTGCGCGAGCCGACGGAGCGCTGCCCTGCGCGGCTGGAGTATTATGAAAGCGAGAAGAAATGGAGGAACAAGTCCGCTGCCAAACGGGTCATCACTTTGGACTCGTGTCTGTGCGTAAACAAACGGGCCGACGCAAAACACAAGCACCTGATTGCCCTCTACACCAAGGACGAGTACTTTGCCGTGGCTGCAGACAACGAGCAGGAGCAAGAGAGCTGGTACTCGGTTCTGACTGATTTAATAGCCGAGGGGAAAGTGTACGACAGCCCTGCTTCTACCTCCTCTCTAGTGGGCTTTGAGGAAGCCAACTACGGACTGATCACTCCTGCAACAGCTGTCTATAAGGAGGTGTGGCAGGTCAACTTGAAATCCAAAGGTCTGGGCCAGATCAAGAACCTCACTGGAGTGTACAGGCTGTGTTTGTCCAGCAGGACCATCAGCTTTGTCAAACTGAACTCAGAAACAGCTGCTGTCAGTTTACAGCTCATGAACATCAGGAGATGCGGACACTCGGACACCTTTTTCTTTATAGAGGTGGGTCGCTCAGCTGTCACTGGGCCTGGGGAGTTCTGGATGCAGGCAGAGGACTCAGTGGTTGCACAGAACATCCATGAGACTATCCTTGAGGCCATGAAGGCCATGAAGGAGCTGTCAGAGTTCAGGCCGCGGAGCAAGAGCCAGTCTGCCAGCACTAACCCCATTTCTGTTCCCACACGACGCAACCTCAACAACCTCCCCCCCAGTCAGACAGGCCTGGTGAGGAGATCCAGGACAGATAGCATGGCAGCAAACTCCCCAGGGAGGAAATTCACATCATGTCGGATAAGAACGGCCAGCGAGGGGGACGGGAGTGTGACCCGGCCTGTGTCCATGTCCATATCTGTCAACGGGAGTCCCACCAGTCCCAACTCTGGGAATCTCCTCATCAGGTCCCACACGCTCAGCAGTGGGCGCACCTGCAGGATGCTGGAGTCCTCCTCCAACCTGCACCACAGCCGCTCCATGCCCGTGTCCAACTCGCCCCCAGGCACCTCAAGCCCCATAAGCATGTCCCCCAGGGGGGCCAGCATCTCCACTCCTGACAAGATCCGGCGGCCTTTTAGCTGCAGCGCCTCCATCTCTGGCTCCCTCAGTGACACTGACAGCTCCAGCCCAAGTGAACCCAGATTCATCCCCCTGACCCGCAGCGACACCCCCGACTCCCTATCCAGCACCCCTCCATCCCGGGACATCAGCGACCCCTGTGGCTACATGATAATGGAGGGGGGAAATGTCACCAGGTCTGGGGTTGGGGTTGATGGCCTTGCATGTGACAACGCTTACAGGAAGAGGACGCACTCCCTCACCACGCCACGTCAACAGAGGGCTGTGGCGCCGCTGGCCTCCGCCTCCCTGGATGACTACACCCTCATGAGGATGGCTCACGGGCAGAACTCCGCATCGCCCAAAGTGTGCTACCCTGAGGACTACGGAGATGTTGAAATCGGGTCATCCAGGAGCTCCAGTAGTAACCTCGCTGATGATGGCTACATGCCGATGACGCCAGGCTTAACGGCCCAGTCTGGCAAAGTAGACTACATGCCCATGAGCCCCATGTGTGTCTCCGCACCGAAGCAGATTGTGAACCCTAGGGTCCATCCCCAGGCGACTGTGAGCGGCGGCTACAAAACCAACTCTCCCTGCAGCAGCTCTCTGGAGGACAGCGGCTACATGAGAATGTGGTGTAGCTCTAAATCGTCCATGGAGAGCTTAGACAGGAACGGTGAATACATGAACATGTCGCCTGGAAACCCACCTCCACTCCAGACCCCCCCTGATTACTACTTGGGCCTGCTATCTGGGGAACATGCAGCAGTGAGGTCAGCGTACCAGGGCGGCTCTCTCACACTCCCTGCTAAACTCCAGGCCTCCAAGAATGAGGAGAGCAACCAGTATGTGTTGATGAGCCCCCAGAGTTTGAGGCAGAGGGTGGGGGAGTCAGACTATTATTCAGTCATGCAGCCCAGTGCAGCCCCTCTTAGCCCCTCCGTGCCCTCCCCAGTCAGGCATGGCCGGGCAGAGAGCCTGCCCTACAGAGGGAGGCTTGGCAGGCCTAACAGACTTTCTCTGGACACCCTGAGGACCCTGCCCAGCATGAACGAGCACCCCCTGCCCGGAGAACCCAGGAGCCCCGGGGAATACATCAACATTGACTTCAGCTGCGCCAGATTCTCCCCACCCTCCAATGTGTCCACGGAGAGACAGTCTTCATCACTGGGCTCCAGCGGAGGGGGCCCCGGGAGGTCCTCTCTGTCAGACTACATGAACCTGGAGCTGGGCTCACACTCGCCCAAGGAGGCACACACTCCCGCTGAGCGCTTGGACACACTCCCAGAGTTATCTATGTGCTCAGAGGAGGACAGAGTGTACCATCTGGAGGCTGAGAAAGGGTCTCAGGGCCTCTGTGACGAGGGGAAAAACGACTACACTGAGATGACATTCGGGATGACCAGCTCCCCACCACAGCTTGTTCCTCAGAACACCGCAAGGTATGTGCATCTGTGTTATTTTAATCATTTATTGTCATTAATTGTAATAGTCTGGCCCTTAGATTGATCACAAGCAAAGGCCAACATTGTCTGATAATCAACATTAATATTTAAGTATTATTTTAAAGAATAGGAATTAAGTATTTAAACATATTTGCTTAATAATCCCTGTTTGACCAGTATGAAAATAAAGGCTTCTTTCTGACTAACTCTCCAGCAGCCAGAGCAGCAGGGAGAGGAGGCTCTCTCTGGAGGACCAGGGTGTCCCAGAATGCATTGGGGCCTTCCTGCTCGGGGGCACCTCTTCCTCCGCAGTTGACCCCGACTGCTCCGCCAAGGTGATCCGGGCCAACCCTCAGGGCCGTCGGCGGCACAGCTCCGAGACCTTCTCCTCCACCGCCACCGTGACCCCGGTGTTCCCCTCCTTCGCCCGCGGGGACATGAAGAGGCACAGCTCCGTGGAGAACATCTCGTCCCGGAGCAGCGAGGGGTCGGACGAGGAGTACGGCAACAGCCCCGTGAACCGGCAGAGCTCGGCCGGGTACGCCAACGGACTGAACTACATTGCCTTGAACCTGCTGGACAACAGGGACGTGGAGAAATGCGAGGACCTGGCTGGCTTCAAACCCACCAGCAGCTGCAAAGGGGGCATCAATGGATTACACAGCTCCCCGTATGTGTGTTTGGGGTTCAAGGAGGCCGCAACCACTGCCAAAGGTGAGTGAGGTTGCTGTCAGATGTGTTGTTGTTGAATAATTTATCCCCACTCTAGCTGGAATGCTCCGTTATTTTAAACAGAAGTCAGTTTGGCTTTGCTGTGAGAAAAGAGAACTGCACTGTACAGTTAAGCGTCAAATGGAAAAAAGGAAAAACAAGGATGCATGCAATCTTGTCCTTCCTCCAGATTCAAATTCAAACTGGCTGTGTGGATTTCAAAGTACGTACGTAGGCGGTGCTGACGCAGCCTGCAGGAGCTGCTCCTAAGCTCCTACTTCTGAGTACTATTCTCTGCGATTAAACAACCATGTAGTGTCAAAAGGAAGTCTTCTGATTTTAGTTGCAATCAATCACACCTTTTTTCAATTGTTTTGCTCCTTCTAAATCTGGTATTTTCCCACAACATGTGAACGCAGCAGCAGGCTGCTAGGAAACGTGACCAGGCTGAGAGCTCTGAAGTAAACAAGCCCCACGACAGCACAGAGCCGGATGCTGCCTCTGCACACACTATAAATACACAAGCAGATATTGGGATTCCACCAACGCTTATTATGAATGAGAGGAATGATAGATTCCTCATAAAACACAACTATTAGTGAGGTCTGCTAATGTCACACGGGGCCTCGGGCATTTCCGGCTGTTGTTTTTTCAGTTGGGTAGGCTTTCGGATGTGTTGCACATCAATGTGACCTCCATGGACCTCTTGTTTCCCACCATCCCATAATCAATAGTGTCCCAGAATATCCCAGGGAACCGCTGCGGCGTGGGATAGCAGACTTGTAAACAAATCAGGAACAGCAGAATGTTGACATTAAAGCCACGTTTGACCCTTCGCCGTTTAACAGGCACACAGTGAACTCACATGTGTTTGTGAGCACGTAGAGGGGGGGTAGGAGAAAGAGGGCTGGGGGGGGGGGGGGGGGGGGGTCAGGGGGTTTACGCTGAAATGGGAGGCCCAGCACAAGTGGATATGTGTTTGTGTCCTTGTAGGCAGTGAGGGAGAACAACAAAGTGGGCGAGTTGCTATGCGGCCATCAGGTAACTGGATGTCACGGTGCACATTCCTGGCTGAGCGTGTTTGAAAAGTGGCTGAGAGAGGGGGGCTTGTTTTTGTCCCGGCTCCAGGCCATTTGAATAGAAAGTGGCTTTTTATTTCACCTCATGGCCCCTGTGTATAGGGAGAAGTTATATTAGGTTTCATTTAGAGCAGGAAAAGGCTGTATAAGTTGTTATTATTGTTCAGGGATGAAGAAAAACAGCCACCACAGAATGGAAATTCAGTGTGTTGCAATTGGCTGTTTTCAAGTTAAACAGGCTGTAATAATGGCCCCTGTGTCCATCTGTTTGTTTGTATGTGTTCTGTACTCATATTTGCAATGGAGTCCAAATATTTTTGTGGTCTTGTAAAGTTGTTCCAGTAAGCAGTGGGAGGGTCTGAGTCGAGCACATACATGTGGACTGTAGCACGTACGCATGCAGAGCAGTCGGGGTGTGTTTTTCTCACAGGGAGCCTCTTTTTTTGTCCCCTTCTTTTTTTCCAGCCTGCATCAGTGAACAGTTTGGTGGGGATGTGCAAAGAGAGTGGCCTGTTTTTGTTTTCCAGTTTGTGGGAGAGCGTGCATAATGGGGCAGGATGGCACGTGCACTCCACTGCCCTTCTGCCTCATTAGGCTGTTCACTTAGCAGAAGTAAGACAAGCAGAGAGGGGGGGATGCAGCAGTGGAAAGAGGAGTGGAGGGGCTTTTTTTAAAGAAACAAATAAAGTCATCGGTGGGCCCCTTTTCAACCAAGGTGCATTCTGTGCTTGTTTACTGACAAAGCGGGGTGAAGGAGCTCAAAGTGCGCTGCTTGGGTTTTTTGGTGCTAGGCCCCACTGTTTTTCAGGAGGTGAAGCTGGACCACCCCCCCCCCCCCACCCCCCGCAACATGTGCCATCCAGACCCAAAAGTCTGCAGCTTTTCATTCCTTCCCCGTCTGACCCTCGCAGGCAATTGACTGGAATGAGAACTTCTAATGGAATGCTGCAGCTCTTGAGGCGAGTGTTTGTCAGGATCAAAGTACAACCAAAACAATCAAATGCCCCTTGGAATTTCCCCCCCATATGACGCCGTGACTGCATTCCTGGTCACATAACCCTGGAGCTTTACGTTCTTTTGGTGCTCCAACTCCAGTCAGATTAGATGTCTTAATGCCTGGCGTACAGGTCAGGTTTTTGTTTACCGGTTGTTCTGTCTGAGTGTGATTCAGAGATGGTGTTTACCTCTGCCCTAACCTGAGCCGTCGTCTCTGCTAGCCGCAGCTCAGCCAGCCGCAGCTCAGCCAGGTGGATGTTCTGTACCAGACTCAGATTAGCCGAGTCAGCCGTCTCTGTTTCCACCGCCACATCCAACTAATACCTTTATCTTCCCTCTGACGATTCAAAGAAGCTTGATTTGCAATGTGAGATGATTTTTACTACGGTTACACTCGTATATGAGCATTGCCTTTTACCAGGCGTGTTGATAATCATCATCATAGCAGGTGTAAGATAGGGATGGGGGATTTTGCTAGGAGCTTTCAGTAAGTTGTGGCAACATAGTTGATATCATTTTTGCTATATTTCTTATATTTTTTATATTGAACATTAATTTAAGGAGTTTTCTGTAGGTGTTATGACATAGTGTTGTTGATTTTTATTTGTATTCTATACATTTATATATTGTATTTATTTATTTTCTAAAATATATATATATATTTTTTTTTTCAGTTATATTCACAGTATCAGTATATTGTTTTCATTTGACCTTTTTCTTTGTATTATTATTATTTTTTCATTCTTTAATGGATGATATTTCCAAAGTCAATTAGTAAAAGGGTTTAATATTCTTGATCTCAATATTAACAAAAACAATTTTGTATTGGAACATCGAGCAGCCCTAGAAGTAAGGGAAGAAGGAGAGTTAAGTAAGGATAAAGGGACCAAGACTGGAGGGGCCCTCCTGAGTGCATGTGGCAGATGGCCACTCTCTGATGTGAGTGTGTGTGTGTGTGTAGTTTGGAGGGACATGGGGTGGAAATGGAGCCTTAAACACATGCCAATCTGCCTTGTCTTCACATACATGTAAGCCCATTACCCATTTCCCTTCCACTAATACTTTAATATAAGTCTTTCTCCTACACACACACATCCCCACCTACTCACTATCCCTCCACTAATGACTGCCCGCCATCTGCCGCACCCACAGGCTGCGCAGAGCATGACCATCAGCATCATGTATGAGTGTGTGTGTAATTTATCGGCCAGATTAGAAGCATTCGTGTCCTTCTCCATAAATCCCATTCCCTCTTGGCGCCATCCAGTCAGTAGTATTGTGAGTGATGTCATCCCGGATCTCAATGCACCCGGAGCATGTCTATCTCTGTATGATGTGCGTGTGCGTTACGATGTTAGAGGGTGCAGCGAGCGAAAGGGGTCTAGCTGCACAGCCATGCATGCCTAACTCGCTCTGAGCATGCTCAGTAGAAGCACAGGGATTTCGATGACATAATCCTGGTATATTTTGACATTTTGTAGACCAAATTGTAGACTTTGACATTGGCATAAGGGATGCGTTGATTCTACTTTTTCCACTGTTGGAATTTGGCCAACATGATTACTTTGTGGCTTCATTTTCTACCTGGCACATTTTGTTCTGGCAGTAGCGTAAAAGTGACACCTGATTTCAGCCATCCATCAGCCTGATTGTTCAATCCATCCCTGCTTACACACACACACACACACACACACACACACACACACACACACACACACACACACACACACACACACACACACACACACACACACACACACACACACACACACAAAAGCTGTTGAATACTTTATTACAATCTGCGTCAGACCTGCGTTGAATCTGAGATCTCTCAAACATAACATAGCAAAAAAGCCAAGACAGGAAATCCAGAAATGCCATGTTACTTGATATATATCGAGAACAAACGTGCACACGTAACACCGCAGGCTCTTGTGTCAGAGTTTCCAGCCAGCGTGTGTGTGTGTGTATTTGTGTGTGTCGTGGCGCGGGGAGGAGGGGGGCTAAAGTAGGCCGGGATGTTCCAGACTGAAGCGCTAGCTGCTAGATAACTGCGTGGCCAGCGTTCCCCACATTTAGCCAGCCACGGCTCCAGATGAGATTACAGCCTCTGTGGCGAGATTAGACGGCATGGGGTAGATCAGCAGCTACTCCACGGGGAGCAGCTGGCTAATACGTAACACAAGGTGTGTTCATCCTGTCCAGATCTCAGGTCAGCGTAATCGCGACAGAAACCTGCATAGATATTGGCTAGTAAATCATAAGATAAATAGAGTAATATCTTTGTATATGCATTTTAATAGTACATTTTATAAGAAACAGGGATTCATTTTTAGATTTAACATGCATAGTGTCCTCAACTCTCCTCTGTTTATAATTGTTTCGAATAAAAATAGGTATTAAGACTTCTTTTCTTAGATGAGAACTGCTTGACTCCGAGCTCCAAAAATGGCAACGTTTCAGTTACTAAGAAAAGCCTCGCTTTCAGCCCAACCGCCTCTCATTTTTGAGGTTATCCAACTGTTTTTTTAAGAGTTTCATCAGCCCTACTCTGATAGAAGTTTCCAAACCTCAATACAACCATGCAATCCTCGTGTGGTTTCATGACACATGGAGCATATTGTCCTCGTGGAAGTAAGGGGCCCTTTCCCCCACCTTTTAACCGTTAGCCCTTCACCACTGGATCTCTTCCTGGAAGCTTCCAGTTGACCCAGTGCCCCTCCCCCATCCCCTCCACTCTAAATCCTTCCTCCGTTCTGCTTGCACAACCCCTCTTCCTCATCCTTCATAATTATAAATTCCACTATAAACGCACCCTCAGTTTCTGTATAATATCAGAGATGCATCATGTACTGGTTCTCCTCCGCTCACTGTGTGTCCATAGCAACACGGCAGCGCGACAGGAGACCCCCACCCCCCATTGCTCTACATCCCAGATTATGTAATAACGACCGTTGCCATCCTTTAAGCGGCAAAAAACAGCTGGTGTGTAAAGACATGACACCTACCATCAAACTTGTACACATCAAATAAGAAATCAGACTAAATATCAGCATAATGAACATAAAAACAACCCATTTCACACGTCGCAAATCCGTCCTATGGTACTTGTTTGTGCAGCACACTGTGTTCTTGTTATTCGAGCTGCGTGTTCCTGTGTCTCCTTGTTATTGTGGCACAAGCTAATCTGAAGGGGTTCACACTGTACAGTAGACTGTTCTCTCATGTCTGCAGTCTCAACGCTCTGCATTGTTGGCACAAGTGTTGTTTTTGGGAAAATAATCAGACCACAAACTGGGGGTTTTCCATTTTTCTTTTACAATTAGAAAGTAGACAGTCATTTAAGCTTGCCAAAGAGTGTTATAATCAGAAGATATTTCCACTAACTCCCTCTTTTCCCCTCTTTCAGACTGAAGGTCTCGTCTGTCCTCTGACTTGGCGTCTTCACCAACCTGCTGCTGGAAACAAGAAATCTACTTTGCCCTACCACTGGGCCCTAAAAGACTGTCTGGACCCTCAGCATCACTCTCACACACTTACGAAACAAGCAGGTCATCGTCTATGCATGTCATGAATTTGCTGGAGGCAACACAGGTGTGCTCATGTATGTGTGTGTGTGGGCGGATGTGTGTGTGTTGGTGCGTCTAATGTTCACTGCGCTTTCAGAGGCCATTTTTCATGTGACCGACATTTTGGCGCAAGCACAGAAGCAAAGATAGTCAGAATATAACAATAGTTGAATGGTACCCTGATACTATTTATTTACTTGAGGTTAGTTTTATGACTGCCTGTATGAGTGCGAGTGTGTTCCTGAGACAAATTACGACCAACCTGTATGACAGTGGAAAATGAAACCTACTATAAAAATGGCCCAGGCAGCGACGATACCAAGGTACACTGATATAACTATATTTAGATGAGATATTTTATTTATTTTTGGTAGATGAATGTTTGATAAGACCTACCCAATGCCTTAATGTCTATATTGTCCTTATGTTTTCTATGAGATAAGAGATACATATTATATTACAGTGTGTCTGTTTAGACCTCTATATTGTTATTCTATTGTGGACATTTTGCTTAAAATATGATTTCAGAAATATACAGTACATTGGGGCTGCTTGACATCTGATTTATCTTATGGATATTAAAGTATTTTCTTAATGACACATTTCTTATTTATTCTAACCTAGTTTATTTTTTGTCCAATCAAAGCGCTGGACTTACAGAAATATATTTCTAAATATCTTTAAGAGTTATGCATGTGTTTGTAACTCAGCTCAGACCCCACAACACCAGGCATCTGATTGCACTGTTCCTCCCTGAAAACCTCACACACTCCTACCTTCAAACCTATTGACTGCTGTTGAGTAAAATGCAGGACACCCTGCTGTGATATATTTTGACAGTACAACTGTATAGTTAAAGTGACGATGAAGGGGCGATGGAGCCAATGAAAACTGTCAGGGTTGGGGCACAGTCGAGACGTTTTCTGGTCATCCAACGAGGGCTAAAGTAAGGGGAAAAGGGGTTGGCAGTGCGGGACAATCACACAAAAAGTAAAAGTAGGGAGGCCACATCTGGCACCAACAGGGAGATTTACTGGTGAAACAAGTTTAGTCAGATATTTTGTTTGAACAATATCTGAATTGCAGACTATATTTCACGAACTATTTAACAATGTCAGGACAATGCTAAAATAATGGCACACTTTAGCTGTCATTAGTTAGGCTACCATTAGCAACTGGTCAAAGCCCTAGCGACGGTGTGCTTTATTGATGCTAAATTCATTTAAACGTCATAGTCTTTGTTTTAATCTGAACCAAACATTGTGCTCTAAAGAGAAATGATTAGTCAAAATGTATACAAACTCCAAAATGGCCGCCAGTGGGTTAATATTATCTGAAAGCCCTCTAAGCTCTCCTCACATTGTAGTGTTTGCGTCATCCACTGTGCCGACTCCAACTGGCTCACCACCTCTTCAGTGTACAGTAGATTGTAAAAATGAAAACCATGTCTGAATGTATCGCTGAACTGGTGGGAACAACACACAAACACAAGGTGGAAAACGGTTTTGACAGAGTTTAATAATATTGGAGCTACTACGCTAAGTTTTATTTATCTGCAGATTCTTGAAGGTGTATATTTTGTACATAGAAAGAGTTTAACTAAAACAATCTATTGAAAATACACTTTTTATGTTGCAATGATATTCCTGTGTAAAGACTTTGGCTACAGATTTTTCAAAAGGGGATGGGGTTTTTCCTTCTGGGTTGTACAGGTTATTGTATGCTTTTCTCCCTCACAGTCTCAGTGACTATATGAAAATATACTGTCTATTTTATTAAAGAGATCTCTTTGCCTTGTTGACACACTTTACCCCAATGGCATATGCAATAGTGACATGAATACAATCTAGTTTACAACCGTGGAACCAAATGTAACATTGCATTGATGATTTATTTTCTTTTTATTGCGAGCAGAAGCTGCTTTTCTCCTTGTACATTTCTCTCTCTGCCAAGTGTTTTTGTTTTTGTCGCTGGGAATTTTGTTCTTGACATGTTTCCAAGCGCTTTCCCCATTTCTGTGTCCATGGACAGAATCAGATTGATCTTCACTCGGTCTGAATGTGTCGTTGTCTTCCATTGTACATAATTCAATATACTGTTTATTGTGATGCTCACAAGAGATGATTATAATGATTTTTAAATTCTGGTAGTCCAGTATTGCTTTTGTCTGTATTGATTATGGATAGCAACATACAGAAATAAATGAATTTATTTAAACGGGTATACTTTGTCTGTATTTTTTTTACATTTGAGTAAATTACTGTTGTCCAAGATTTAAGACCTGAGTAAATTATCATTTTAGAATTCTATATGATTTAAATGTAAATATGAATACAAAAATAATGTGTTGTTATTGTCTTTGAAACGTTGCATAGTGTCACTTTAATTCGTTTTTCCCCAAAAGAAACTGATTCAAAATGTTTTTCCTTTAAGACTACAAATCCCATCCTGCCCCTCTCCTTCTTCTTTGACGCATTTGGCACAAAGTCTAATAGCTTCCTGACTGTCATTAGAGGAGGATGTCCTACTGTACCTCCGTCCTGTATGGAGTGAGGCTGAACTCTCCCTCTCTGCTAAGTGTTTTTATTTGAAACGGAGGCAGAGGCAGGAAGCCCATACTGAGCCAATGACTTCCTGCCAAGCCACGCGTCTCCAGAACGGACTGCGTAATCATAGTCTGGAGGTCAGCAGGTTCGAAACATGCAGTAAACAACTGTCTATCTCCCACTCACTCACATCCAGCTGTCACAGGAACGCTGTGTTTCTTTACCATGCAGTTATCTTTTTACACCATACAGATATAGGAATATTTTCCATTCACAAGGTTTCCTATCTTTGGTTAATTTGTATTTTAAAGGGTGTCTTAAACACACACAGAAATGTTTCTCATCCTGCAAATAGTTTTGATTTTCCAAGGTTTTGTGACTATTGCTGTCAAAAGTGAATAGAATATGTTATTTGAAGGTAACAAATATGAATGTATATGCTATCTTACAGAGAGTTAGGGTGAGGTAGATACAAACGGATACCAAGATCATGTCTGCAGGTTATGTATGGAAAATCTTAATTTGTACAATTTCTTTTTGATCTGAGATGGGGACAATGGCCAACATTAAACCTTAGACATGTCATGTGAGCATGTTGATGTGAAAACAAAATTGAATAGGCCTCAATGCAGCCAAACAGACCCCCAATCATGGACTTGTTTTTTTAAAAGGCTCAACAAAACCCCAAAAGCATGACGGACACCAAGACGGTAAAATCCAAGTTTGAGAATCGTGGTTGAGAATAAGCATGCAGGGTAGACGAGACTGGCTTATCCAATAGGGATCAGGCTAAAGGGCAGGAGTCCAAAAAGCAGGCAGGGGGTCAAAACAGGCAAAGCAGGCAGGGAAAATTAAGATGTCTGGAACGCTAAGGCTAAGGCTGTTTTTGAAAAACATACCACACTTACAATGTCCTTATAATGCTTTAATATTCTTTATGGGCACCAAGCTTTCACCTCTCCAGTACAGACGCAACATGAACACACACACACAAGCAGCCACTGAGGGCACTCCTCTAGCTGGTGTGTATTAATTAGCAGTGTGACAGTGTGACAGTGTCAGTGGGGCTCCGCTCTGCTGCCAGGCAGAAACCAGCCTTACATAAGAGCACACCACCAATCCACCAGGAGGGACACAATGTTCCTCACCCCTCTGCACTGACTGTCTGTCAGGAAAACCATTTTCTATTTGTATTTGTATTTGTACGGGCAAACCACAGGAGACGTACGTAAAAGCAGGAGTCCGTTGCATGATCTTACGTTGTCAGAAAGAACAGCTTGTCTCAGGGGAGTGGATTTCTCAAGCCTTTGTCAAAACAGTTAAAGGCTCCTAAAATACAGTTAACAGGATGCTGCTTTGAAGTGTGTGTTTATCTGATCTATTTCTGAATGCCCTCAATTCTTCCCAAATTTAGAATCACATTCACAAAATCACATGCTTGTAAACGCACGCAGACGAGCAGGAAAGAATGCATCATGGCCGCAGCGCTGGTGCCATGCGACCTGCTTCATCATCATCATCACACGATCTGGAGGCTCCAACTTGTGACATTTATTTTGCCTTGAAGTCTTCGAAGATCAGTACATTTCCAGCAAGTCGAATCATTCCTTCACTGAGGACAGTGGCATTTGCAAATACACTGCAAGCTTCCATTTTAATAGGATTTATAGACAACATGGGCAACAACCATATACATTTTTTATAGGATAGCAACATCATATATCGACTTTGTATTCACGGTAAATTGGTTTGATATACAGGTCAACTGAATCTGAGTGAGTATCCACTGGGAAATGAACCCAGGCCTGATTTGTTGGCGCTCAGAGAGAAGCCGTACTTGAAATAATCATGTGAAATGTACCTAAAACGGCAATTGTGTATGTACAGTATGTACTTGATGCACATTATAACAGCATGCATGTGGTATGCGGTGCAGATTAGGGTTTTAAAAAGAGAATGGCTGCTCTTTTTTGCACTCTCGTCCACCCTGTGCTCCATTGGGCCTCCCTGCCAGCTTGCTGCCGTGCTGGGCTGCGGCTCTTCAGGGGATTGAGAGGCGCTGGCCCCATTATTTCTCCCTGAATCAGCCTAAGGAGGGTTTCAGCCGGGCTCATTGAACTTAGCGCAGCAGCAGGGAGGAGCTGTGACCCACTTACACTAGCTCTCCACAGAAGAGACCACAGAGGCGCACAGCGTAACATGAAAACGTAACATACTGACATATATTTCAGAGATACTATACTGAATCAAATCCTAATGGGAATAGATTGCTTTCATTATGCAAGCAAACACGTTTTAAACTACATCTTAGGATCACGTGGTCTTTCACTGATTGAGAAAATGGTGCCATGTTGACAAAATAGCCATACAAATGCTACATGCTGATCTTTGCTAATATAATTATAAAGAGTGAGTGGTAGGTGTAAGTCCTAAAACCCAGAAATGAGTCAGAATTGAGCATTTTAGAACTTCCCTAATCTCTCACAGTTTTTGGAAAATGTTTAAAATAAGGTCTCTGGTTAACACAAGCTTTAAAGACGTTAACATCATACTACTTAAAACATAAAACACATCAGTAAATACGCAATTTTAGTTCTTTTAAGTGCCTTCGAAAGGAGGTTGCTTACATTGTTCACTTTTACTTGCATTTTGACAGTTTGTGATGGATCTGCATACTTCTTCCACCACTTGCAATGACATGTCAAAATGGCTTCTGAGAAAAAAGGGCCTATTCATCCTGGGTAGGACATACATGTGAGTACCACATTTCATGGAATCACCCCATAGTTGTTTAGTTGTTTCTGCAAATGTAGAGTTCAACGTAGAGGAAACAGAGGGGTTCATTCTCTGGGGGTCATGAGTAGCTGCACCAAAATGTGCGGCTCCCAATTTGTACACAGGTTGTAAAGAGGCTATTTGTCACTTTGCATTGTTCACTGTTGTCTTTTTGTATTCTTGGCAAAAAGCAGGCAGAGAGCTGTCGGAAGCGAGAGGTCATTCGGTCAGCTACTATCTTGATAAGTTGACAGCATGCACTCTCGTTGCCTCTTCCTCCCGGAGCAACGGCAGCACTCTACGTTACAGAAAGGCCAAAAGGTCAATCAGCCCTGATGCATTCTCTCTGAACCTTTTTGGCTTTTCTCAGCCATCACTTTTACATTTTTTCCAAGACAGAAAGCTGCCTCAAGGAAAGAAATGTGAATGCTTGGCTTAGTATTTGAAGAGTGGGCATTTTTCATTTGTCATTTTAGAATTCTTGCTGCAATGGCAATGAAGGGTTCTAAGTTAAGATGTCTGCTTAAGAGTCTTACAGATCCAGTGTTGTTTGGTACTCATATTCCAACCTGTAATGCTCAAACAACAATCTTCAAAAGAGAAACCATTGTATTTTTACCTTTGAGGGGGCCTGCATGTGCATGTGACTTTGTGTGTGTGTGTTTCAATGGAAAGTCTCTGGGTCCATGGCATTCAGTCTCCACGTGTTTGGACAGCATGTGGAGCCCAGGTCCCGCCCACTGCTCACAAACCCTCCTGCTGCTGTTTACCACACTGCCAGTGAAGTGGAAGACTCCAGCCTGCCGGTCCACATGCCGTCTTATCAGCCGACACTCTCTCGCAGCTCGTAAACATGTTTTGCAATGGAAATTATCTGGCAAAAGACTGTTGTAAAAGAGCCAGACGCAAGTCGATTCATATTAGCTTCTTATGATGAGCTAAGAAGTAAATAATGAATATAAACAAATGTCTACAAAATAAGTTTTAGCAGGCTTTTGGCTTTGGTTGAATACAGGTTAGCAGTACGTGTAAAGAGCCTGAAGGCCAACTGTATTGCTTAAAAATATGAGTTTTATTTCAATGTCATTATAACTTTATCGAGGAGTCATATTTAAGACTTAAAGAGACATTACATTTTTTTTTTTATTAACCCCATCTTTGACAGTGCCAAAAACTAGAGGCATCTACAAGATAAATCTAAAGCCACAGTGCTAATTTGTTTTTACATTTGGTAAAAAAGTGCAAAATGTGTACTGAACTGAAAGCTTTGAACGGACTGGAAAGACTCCAAAAAGTACACCCCCCATAAAGGTCAAACGGAGATATCGGTTCATTTGCATGTTAGCACTAAAAACATGCTGGAGAACTTGAAGTCCTCTGTTTGAAGTGTGTATGAGTCACTCTATAGGCTTCAGCCTGAACATGTGAACACAAGGCTCACAGACCAATGGAATGCTTGCTCATAGCCATACCTTTAACATGATTTGCATATAAGGTTTGTGCAACCTTTAAATGTTGAAAGGATGACATTATTCAAACTATTTACTTTACACTCTCACGCTATTTAAGAAGGAATCTTAATGGCTTCCAGCTAAAGGTGTCTGACAGATAAAAGGTCTGAGACTAAGCCAGGTTTATAAATTGACGTCTTTAAACTGGCTTTTTCTTTTCCATTATGCTCTGAGTGTTCTGTGTTTTTACAGTAAGCTCACAAAATATCCTCCATTAACATCTGCAATTTTAACAAATTCCCAGTTGTTTGGGTTATTTTCATCTAGGCCATCAGGACAACTGACAGGCCATCGCATGGCTAAAAGCCTCAGGGACCACACTCGTTTTATGACATTTAATCCTTTGTTTATCATGAAATACTTTATTTCCTGTAATTATACAAATCCCTTG